AAACGCATATATATATATATATATATATATATATATAGAGAGAGAGAGAGAGAAACTTATGTCAAATACTAATCCATTAAGTAAGAGTAAGTTAATAAATTGATGAATTCTTATTAGATATACATAGTATGAAGATAAGTATATAGTTTAAATTGAAATGTAAACCTTAATGAAAGAGCAGCTTAGGTAAATTAAACGATTTATTAAATGCCAAATTTACCCCCTCACTCTTATATGTGATCAATGATTAAACTGCAAACAATTATTCACGTGCTACATGATTAATAATGCCAAACCGAGAACAATTACTCACATGCTATATGATTAATAATTACACACAACGTGGCGATCTCTCACCGACTAAAATTCAAGTATTCACGGTACGCTTAGGTTAATTAGACGATTCATTAAATGCCAAATTTACCCCATCGCTCTGATATGTGATCAATGATCAATCTGCAAACAATTATTCACGTGCTACATGATTAATAATGCCAAACCGAGAACAATTATTCACATGCTATATGATTAATAATTACACACAACGTGGCGATCTCTCACCGACTAAAATTCAAGTAATTCACGGTACGCTTAGGTTAATTAGACGATTCATTAAATGCCAAATTTACCCCATCGCTCTTATATGTGATCAATGATCAAACTGTAAATTATTCACGTGCTACAAGATTTATAATACCAATCTGTAAACAATTATTCACGTGTTACATGATTAATAATGTCAACCTGCAAATAATTATTCACATGCTATATGATTAATAATTACACACAAAGTGACGATATCTCACCGACTAAAATTGAAGTAGTTCAAAGTATTGCATAGTTAGTTTTAAATTTTAATTATATTATTATTATATAAATAGAACTCTATTATAATTGTTATCCTCTCACATGCAACATCATATACAAATATATATAAGCCAAGAAATTATAATAATTTTTATAGCACTTTTATCTCCTTCTACAGGCATGTGCCTTTGTTATTAGATTAGATTAAATTATTTTAAAGTAATTAGTTATATTGTATATTTGATCTTTTTTCAGATTAAAAAATTATAATAATTTTCACAGTACTTTTATCTCCTTAAATAAGTATGTGTCTTTGTTATTTTCTTCTTATTAGAATAAATTAGATTGTTTAAGAATTATGAATTATAAAATTGCAACAACTTTCACAGTACTTTCATCTATTTTCTTCTTATTAAATTAGATTAGACTATTTTAAAGTAATTAATTATGTTGTATGTTTGATTTCTTTTCTGATCATTATACTATTATTATTTAAATAGATACTATTTGTATAAAATTCAAAGAGAATCTCACATGTATCTTTGATCTCAATGCCAATTATAATACTTATATATAATTAATTATGTTGTATGTTTGATTTCTTTTCTGATCATTATACTATTATTATTTAAATAGATACTGTTTGTATAAAAGTCAAAGAGAATCTCACATGTATCTTTGATCTCAATGCCAATTATAATACTTATATATAGGTTTTGGTTAAAATAAATTTCATCTATGGGGTTAACTTATATGATCCTACTTTAATCAGATTAGATAATTTAACGTTTGTTCTTTACACCCAAACTCTTCCATAAAACCAAGATATTTTCAAAATTAATCTTGGGGGTTGCTTGCATTAAAAAATTATGTTAAGAGGGCCCATACAATTTGTTTTATAGTTTAAGATTGTCAACATATTTTGTTTCTTATGCATATCAATTATGAGTAACAATATAATTTAATTGATCCACGTATATCCTAATATATTTCTGGACTCTTATCTTGTCTTTTGCTCTTTATCATGTACAAACCTAACAATTCTTATTCAATTCCTTCTTTTTTCTTTTTTGTCTCTTGACATTGTCTTTTGTTCTTCATTATGTACAAACCTATTTCATGAATTAAGGTTATGTTTTTTGAGGGGGGAGCAGAAGACAAATGAGTTGATTTTAGTGTTGGACTTTATTATTTGAAGAGATTAATTTTAAGAAATTCAACTCCAACTTGATATCACAATTGATGTAGATGATGAAGACGCTACTCTAGAATTGCCCAATAAAAAGATAAAGGTGGAGAAAAATTAATCTCGGCTCAATTAAAATATAAAATAAAAATAATAAATGATAATATTTTTTGAACATTTTATACTATAAATTAAATTTTAAGTAAAATTAAGAATTTTTAGAAGGAATTTTCATGCAAAATTTTTAGTATTTTTGTATGCTTATGTGATTGTTTTTATCACATAAAATTATATTTATAATGTTTATCGTACTTTTTTTTATGTTGAGATTGTTTTTCATAAAACATGAGCTAATGTTTATCGTACTTTTTTTTATGTTTGATTTTGAGATTGTTTTTCATAAAACATGAGCTTATAATGTTAAAAAGTGCAATGTAATTCTATTTTCAATGCAATAAGAAATGTTATTTTTTTATTTGCTAGAACTATAGTTCATAATGATATTGTTATTCATTCTTGACTCCATATTACAGCTTGGGATTGGTAGAGTTTAGAATATAACATGTAGTATCAATTTAACTTATTTTATTTTACTATTCTGCTTAAAGATATTATTATGTCAGCTGATATCTTTTTTTACAAAAATCAATTATGATATCCCAGTTAAGTATATTGATACCAGTTTAGCACAAAAATCTATTACGTTAATTTTTTATAATGTTTAAATAAAAATTATAGCAAATCTAATAATTAAAATAAATCTGACTTATTTATAGTAATAAAATAAAAAAGTAAATTATTTTGATATTTAACCACGTGCATTGTACGTACATAAAACCTAGTATATATATATATATATATATTTAAATTGAAATGTAAACCTGAATGAAATTATTAAATGCCAAATTTATAAATGTATACAAGATGAATGACGTATATGCAAAAACCAAACAAATTAGTGAGACAAATAATGTCTGCTCCAGAGGTCGAACACCGGAACATCACAGACCTACAAATGTACATAATGTGAATGAGGTATTTATAAAATCCACCAAACAAATTAAAGAGACAAAATCGTTTTGAAAATTATAAAAAAGGAAAATTAAAACGAACGGTTGCGATATGAGGACAAAATGTGGCAATCTCTCACTAACTAAAATTTAAGTAGTTCACGGTACTACATAATTAGTTTCAAAGTTTAATTATACTATTATTATTTAAATAGAACTCTATATACAATTGTTATCCTCTCACATGCAACATCACATACCAATGTTTATAAGCCAAAAAACTTTAATAATTTCCGTAGCACTTTCACCTCCTTCTACATGTATATGCCTTTGTTATTTTCTTCTTATTAGATTAGATTAAATTAAACCATTTTAAAGAAATTAATTATATTGTATATTTAATTTTTCCATGTCAAGAAATATCAACATATTTCACAGCACTTTTATTTATTTTCTTCTTATTAGATTAGATTAGATTATTTTAAAAAAATTAATTATATTGTATATTTATTTTTTTTAGATAAAAAATTATAATAATTTTCATAGCACATTCATCTCCTTCAACATGTATATGCCTTTGTTATTTTCTTCTTATTAAATTAGATTAGACTGTTTAAAAATTATGAATTATTAAATTGTAATAATTTTCATATTATTTTTATCTATTTTTTTCTTATTAAATTAGATTAGATTATTTTAAAGCACTTACTTATATTGTATGTTTGATATTTTTCAAATCACAAAGTTTAATTATACTATTATTATTAAAATAGATACTATTTGTATAAAAATCAAAGAGAATCTCACACATATCTTAAATCTCAATGCCAATTGTAATATTTACACATGGGTGTTGGTTAAAATAAATTTTATGTGTGGGCTTAACATATATAATCCTACTTAATGTATGGGCTTAACATATATAATCATACTTTAACCAGATTAGATAATTTAATTTTTTTTAAGACCCAAACTCTTCCACAAAACCAAAAGAGCGTAGCAATACTATAGCTATATATATCCACAAGACCACAGATATCTTGAAAATGAATGAAGAAAACCACACAAACAAAAACCATATTAATTACCCACACACACCCACTATTTTTAAAACCACCATTCTTCATCTCCAGCTATTATATATCCACAAGTTGGAGTTTCTCCTCACCAACTACACTATTGATCAACCATTCTTTTTTCCTTTGTATTTAAATTGTATAACATTCATTGCGATAAAAACTTACATAGGTCATCTGCCTGCCTTGAACATCCAACAAAAAAATAAATGTACTAGGCCTTATAATTAGTTAATAATGAGATCCTATTATTATAAACAAATTAAGTAAAGATTAATATTTCTTAAGAATGTACTACGTTCCCTTATCTTCCACTACAAACTTGTTAGTTGTTTACTCCTATCCACAAGAGATTTTTAAAATTAATCATCTATTTTCTAATTATTTTTAAATGTTTAAATAAAATTTATGACAAATGTAATAATCAATGTTTATAGATTTTAACTCAAAATGAATATGACTTATTTTATAGTAAGAAATTAAACAAAAAAAATACCACGTGCATTGCACGTACACAAGAACTAGTATATATATATATTTCATCGATGCAAGCAACTATGGTGTGATTCAGCGTAGTTGTGCTGTTTTATTATCAACGTATCATTCACACAAGAAATCAAGCACATTACAAATCCTGGATTACCTTCAGATAATTAATACATCAGCTCTAGGTTTTCTTTATTAAGAGTTACAGAGAACTAAACTGACCAATCTTTTACATTACTGTAGTCAAGTCATCGAATTGGTTCAAATAATGAAATAAACTCAATGATATTATATATCTAATAACACGTTAGCCGGAGAAAGAAGCAGCAGACGACATATCCAAACTCTTTGACGTGCTACCATCAAAGTGACTCTCAAAAGCTCTGAATCTCAACACCTCGCCCTCTACAATGTAATTCTTCACTGATGGAACTTGAACAGGTGTTCGGCCTTCAAGAATGCTCACCACAGTGGACATTGTAGGCCTCAGAGTCGGAGAGGGGCTCGAACATAGAAGAGCGAGGTTCATCATCTGCATCGCTTCCTTTTCCAAGTAGTTGGAGCCTAGACTCGAGTCAACCAGTTCAAGAAGTTTTCCTTGCTCTTGTAGAACATATGCCTGCAGTATATATTTGACAATGAGAAATGAAAAGTTGTATCTAATAGTACAGCAACAAAGACTTCTATTCTAAACTTTTGTGTCGGCTACGAAAATCATATCAGCTTGGTTTAGGATACATGAAGGGCATATGTCTGCGGTGCGTTCAGCAATAGGAAAAAAAAAAAAAAATGGGTATCTAATTTTGTCCAAGAACAAAGCCTTTATCCCAACATTTTAGGTTCTGGATCATGAATCCTATTGTTCCATACCATAGATCTCCTACATCAAATTCGCCAATATCATATCATTCTAAATTGTCTCCATCCAAGTTTAAAGAAAATGCAACAAGAAAATCAGGGTCTCTCCCGTTTTATTGTTTGAAAACTGTTGATTTTTGTGACCACCTGATGCATGTGTAATATATGTTCATAACACATGATCTTTTACTTGTAGACCTTTTAAGACGTGTAAATGAAAATGAACGGAGTTGATCGTCCAATTTTATTGCATAATACATATTTTACTAGTAAACATAACTAAGCAAGTTATGCCCTACGAACAACTAAGCTTATATATATGTGTGTGTAGATATATAGAAATGCATGTAGGTATATACACACACGTGTGTATAGAGAAATGATGGGTATGAGGTGGTGGCTCATTTTGCTAAATGAGCTACTAAGAGAAAAGAGTGGTGAAGTCCACACATTTTGATGTGATAAGTAAGGTGGGTCTCACCACATGACGATCTCTTGATAGCTCATTTAACAAAAGGAGTTGTCACCTCATACCCATTATTTCCTATATATATATATATATATATATATATATATATATATATATATACTATATATACACACACACACACACCAACACAGACACAGAGATTATCTTTGGTACTTGCGAACCCTAGGATCAAATTGCGTCCCTTTTACCACCCAATGTGACTCACACACACACAGTTCATCCTTGGTAACTGTGAAACCGCAGGCATCAAATTTGGTCTTTACAACCAATGTGACTCATATGGCCGTGCTCAAAAAGCGCCACGGCCAGGGCCTGCCCCGCTCGAAAATCCGGGCCTGCACCGGGTTCCGGGCGCGGGTATGGTGCTTGCCTCAGGACGCCGGCCGGCCGGCAGGAACACGTGCCAAACTGTCAGCTAAGGTGATCGTTGCAGAAATAGGCCGGCCGAACACCGGTCTGGCCCGGTCTGGCCCGACGCGACACGTCCACGTGCTCGTGACCGTTTGTGGCCAAAGAGCGGCTGCCGGGCCCAGGCTGCCGCTAGCGCCACCAACGGTCACGAGAGTGACCGTAATGTGCGCCAAAACGGCTTTTGACACATTTGTTCGCCCCCAAACGGTCAAAAACGGCTATTTTGTTGAGGGGTTATTTTGGTCTATTTGTTTTAGGGGGCTGGCTCCTATAAATAGAGGGGGGTTTTTATTTGTTTTCTTCATACCAAAACTCATCTACTTCTCTCTTATACTCTTATACTCTCTTATACTCTTATATTCTCTTATACAATCTTATACTCTCTTATACTTTCTAATCCTTTCATCAAATGGCTTCCAGATCTGATTATGAAGAGCAAAACCTATCTCCCGATCTTGAAATGAGTCATCCTACTGGGTCTACTCCTACCGATGTTAATCCTGAATCCGGTGGTAACGAATCTGCACCAAGAGCTCCTAAAAGGCCAAGATCCGATGTGTGGAATTTTTACGATAAGATCGACGTCACCAATGATGAACACGGTAGGATCCTCATCCAGAAGACTAAGTGTGCGTTGTGCGGCAAGATTTTTCAAGTTCATCATAAGAGCGGCACCAACCACCTCAAATGCTATTTAGATAAACACAACAAATGCCAGACTTCTCAAGGTGATATTCGACAATCTATGATTTCTCAATCCTCCTCTTCTGGTAGTCTCGATAGTTGGAACTATGACGCTACCAGAGCCAGGAAATGCGTAATCAGGTTTATTATTCTTAAAAACCTTCCTTTTAAATTAGTAGAAGATGATGAATTTGAAGATATGTTTAGAGATGGTTTTTATCCTGTATTTAAAAAAATTTCTCGTCAAACCTGTCAACATTATATTTTAAAATATTATCAGGAGGAACAAGAAAAAATAATTTCTTATTTTAAAAATTTAAACTGTAATTTTTTTTAACTTCTGATATTTGGACATCTAGAACACAAACTGAATATTTATGTATCACAGCATACTGGATTGATGAAAATTGGCAAATGTTTAAAATAATTGTTTTTTTTATTGCAATAGAAGAGTCACATACGGGTATTAATGTTACAAATTTAATAATTGAAGAACTTATAAAATTAGAAATTTCAGAAAGAATATTTTCTCTTTCACTAGATAATGTAAGTAATAACAATGTAGCTGTTGATTTTATCAGATCAACTCTGTCATTACCATGTCATGGTGATCTTTTTCATATTAGGTGTATCTGTCATATTTTAAATTTAATTGTTCAAAGTGTATTTACTGAAATTAAACCCATGATAGAAAATGTTAGAACAGTTGCTTATATGCATAATGCTTCTGAACAAAGACTTAAAAGATGGAAATAATTTTATAAAAAAAAAGTAAAGTTAAGACTAATTCTAAAAGATGTTGACCATAGGTGGAATTCCACCTATGCAATGTTAAGTGTAGCAATAGAATATAAAGACATTATAACTGATTTTATAAATTATTATGCTTCTAGTTCTAGTTCTGATAGCACTTATGAAATAACTGAAGATGAATGAGCAATTATATGTAATTTAAATGAAATGTTATAAGTTTTTTATGATGCTATAATATTATTATCTGGCTGTTATTATCCAACCATTACTTTAGCTGCTTTACAAATTTTAAATATTCAAATTTTTTTTGGAAAATATCGTATAGATGATACTTTTGGACCTATGATTTTTCAAATGGAGAGCAAATTTAATAAGTACTTTAGGCTTATTCCTCATATTTTTGGTTTGGGGGTTCTTATTGATCCATGCTTGAAGGATATTGGCCTTCGAAGTTTGTTACAATTCTTGTATGATAATCAGATTATAGACTTAGATGATGAATCCACCCTTACTGCTACTACTCATCATTTAGCTATTAGAAATTATTTTCAAACCTTATATGATAAGTATGCAGCTAGACATGGTGTAGCTACACAACAGTCTACAGCTTCGGTTTCTTCAAGCTCATCCCGAAGTAAAAGTGTAAGTTTTGATAGGTATGCAATGGTAGCTGAGCTAACTGGTGGATCTGGACTTGGATCGTCATCATTGGAGGTTTCTAAAATAGATGAATATTTATCTTCTTCTTTAGTTAAATGTCAAGGAAATGCTTTAGATATTTTACAATGGTGGAAAGTATATGGATCAGTTTCATATCCTATACATTCCACCATGGTTCGTGACTTACTAACAGTGCAGGTTTCGACGGTAGCTTCGGAATCCGCCTTCAGCATAGCAGGACGTTTGATCGACGACCACAGGACATGCTTAGATCCGTATACTGTACAAGCAGTGATGTGCTTACAACATTGGTGAAGGTACGAGAAGCGAACACAATGCATAGATCTGATGGCTGGAATTGAAGATAAATTTGAAGAATTTGGACTAGCAGATAGATATAAAGAATAAATAATATTTATCAAATTGTAATTTTTATATCTTAACTTAAAATTTGTAAAGAATTATTTTGAAAATAATTACAAATGATAGTGATATAGGTGAGTAGGTGCCAACCTAGTTGGGATGTACTTATCTATTGTGATGCGATGGATTCCAAAATAAATTTATACTTATAATTTATAAATAATTTATTAATTATTAATAAAAAAAAAATTTATAATTTTTTATTTATAATTTATGTCATTTTAAGTGATTAATAAAATTATTGTTTTTTATTAATTTTTTTTATCTTTTTTTTGTATAATTTAAAATTTAAATAGAATTTAAAAAAAATAAACCGGGCTCGGACCCGGGCCCGGGGTACTCGGGTCCGGGTCCGGGCTCCGGTTTTGCCCGGCTCGGGCCTGGATTTCCGGGTCGACAGGCCCGGGCCGGGCCGACCCAGATGGACACACCTAGTGACTCATTCTCATCCAAGCATCCAAAGTGGGGACCATTTTCAAGCAAGGTTATTAACTACGGGAGGCCATTTTCAAGTGGGGGAATACACACAGAGTTATCCTTGGTACTTGGAACCAAGGATCAAATTTGGTCCTTTACACCAAGGTGACTCATTCTCATCCAAGCATCCAAAGTGGGGACCATTTTCAAGCAGGACAAATTTTCAAAACCGACCCTTTTGGGTTTTTATTTACAAAAAACGATCGGTTTTGAAAATTTTTATAAAAACCAACTTGTTTTCAGCCCAGCGCTAAAAACAGGTTGGTTTTTATAAAAAAATTTGGGAAACTTCACGGGAGTTCAACTCCCGTGAAGTTTAGTGTATTTTTAAACTTCACGGGAGTTGAACTCCCGTGAAGTTTAATTTCTTCATAAATCTTCACGGGAGTTCAACTCCCGTGGAGATTTATGAAGTTCGATGAAAGCTCCAGCAGGGAGTTCAACCCCGTGGAGTTGCAGGTGACATTTCCAGAGAGCGCTTTCTGGAAATGCGGCCTGCAACTGCACGGGAGTTGAACTCCCGTGGAGTTTGGTGGCCTATAAAAGGCGTGCGTGACCCCGCCGCGACCCCAGCCCGATAAACCGTAGCCTACTACCTCCCTCGTCCCCAATCGCCGCCGCCCCACGACGGTCCCGACCGCCGCGCCTCCTTCGCGATGGCCGGCCGTCGGTCAGAACGTCGTCAGATCTCAGTCTTAGTCTAATAAACAAGTAAATTCTTCCTAAAAAATTTATACTCTCTAATTTTTGTATACTCTCACTATTTGATTGTGATTACATGTAAAAATCTAGATTTTAGAATTTAATTGTGAATATCAAGTGACTACGATATGGGTCTCATTCATGTCTTACACGACGAGAAGCGTTCGGTCGAATTGTTCATTGAAAAACATTAGAGGGATTTGGGCAAATCGTTGAATTACAAAGGAATGTATTCCCGCATGTTGGAGGATCATGAAATTGATTCCGTAGGCTTTTTATCTCCTTAACAAGATGAATGTTGGACACAATCACAATACATGAGCGGTCCTTCGTTCGTGGGCACTTCGAATGCTTTCGATACTAACACGGGAATTCAAGAAGATAATGCAAGTGTCGAATCCGAGAATGATGATGAAGAGGAGGGATTACAAATTAATAGCATGACCTTGATAGATAGCGATGACGGGGAAAACCAACACATCGACGGATGTTATGCTAATAATGAGTATGTCGTCTTAGAGGATCCGCCGCCCGATGAATTTCAAGGAGATGAATGGATTGATAACTCCGTGATGAAAAATGTTCCTATTAGCACTAATAGGGGTGTTGATACACAGGCCGAGGACTTCTTATTCATGAAGGGAGATCTTTACGAGAGTAAGGAGAAATTGATCCATGCGCTTCGCACGTATTCTATTGCAAAAAATGTGAAGTTCAGGCCAACCAAAAATAATACTACAAGCTATAATATGGTTTGTTTCTATCGCAAAGATGACGATGACGAAGATAATAGTGGACACCACGACGGCAATGCGAGCTGTCCGTGGAAGCTTAATTCACGCTTGGGTGTAAGAGTAGGCGGGCAATTTAAAATCACGACATACAATAGACTCCACACTTGTAGCAATCCTCGATTAGATATGAATAACAAAAATGTGTCCTCTTCTTTTATATATCGATTGATTTTACCGCATCTGAGGGAGGATCTTGATCTAAGGCCGAAAGATATTCGTCTTTTAGTGCATAAAACTACCAACTTGGATGTATCATATCACAAGTGTTGGAATGCTAGGAGGAAGGCGATGATAAAAATATTCGGGGATTAGGATAAATCGTATAAGATCTTACATTATTATCTTGAAGCACTCAAAAGAGAAAATCCTGGGACTGTCTACGAAGTATCTTCGGACCCCGTTGATGACGGAGAACGACGGTTCACCGGTGTATTTTGGGCATTTGGGCCCTGTATTGAGGGGTTTTGATATTGTCGTCCTCTTCTTAGCATTGATGCCACGCACTTATATGGTAAATACAAAGGCGTTTTGCTTGTTGCAACCAGAATTAACGCGGATGGCGGGTTGTTTCCTTTAGCATTTGCAGTGGTTGGTGTTGAAAACACAGAGAATTGGGCTTGGTTTTTTGCATGCATTAGATATCATATCCTTAATGTGGGGACGCGGCCAATTACATTCATATCCGATAGGATGAAAGGAATTCCAAGAGCACTCCAACGACATTTCCCGCCACCACATGCACATCACTATTGCTTGCGACATATTAGAGACAACTTCAAGAAGAAGTATGAAAACGCTCAGGTTCAAGACTTACTTTGGCAAGCCGGTTGTGCAACAGAAAAATATGTTTATGAACAAATACGAAAGAGGATTAAGTTCATTTCACGAGCTGCACATGATTGGATCGATTAATGCAAATTTTTGTATGAATATACTTAAACAATTTTCGTTTTATGTGCAACCCGTACCAGACATCACGATGATTGAGCATTCCCAGAGTCATTCGGCTTGAGTCATTGAGGATGAGAGGGTACTAGAACTGATCGCTCAAGCCAGTTTTCGGGAGTGTTCGACGATTCGATATATTAGGCTTGATTGGCCGCTCATCATTGTACTTATTAAGAGGTGGAGGCCAGAGACCAACACCTTTCACATGCATATAGGGGAGTGCACCATCACCTTACAGGACGTAGCCGTCATACTTGGACTCCGGATCGATGGACCGGCAGTTACGGGCACCGATGATCATAGTTGGCCGGAGGTATGTGTTAGGCTTCTTGGTCAGGTTCCCGACTTGAGGAGTGGTGCGATGAAGCTATCATGGCTTCGTCAGACATTTCAGAGCGATATACCAGAGGATGCCTCTATTGAGACGCTCCAGTTTCATGCTCGTGCGTACATATTGGACATGATAGGGTGCGTACTATTTCCTGATGCGAGCAAGACTCTCGTACATGCACGATGGCTACCACTGCTGAAGGATTTCGGTGTATGCGGCGCACTATCGTGGGGCAGTACGGTGTTGGCATACTTGTATCGAGAATTGGGTAGAGTATCTCTGATGCAGAATAAAGAACTCAAGGGATGCTGTACGTTGATACAGATTTGGTCATGGGTGCGCATTCATATTGGACGACCCACTTTACTTATGCACCGTGATCTGGAGGGGCAGTATCATTTGGCATACAGGTATAATTGTACACACATATTTCATTCGTATTGAATTTGTACTTATATATTCGCTATTCTGCATATAGGTATAACGTGCGATACGCTCAGTACAAATCCGCGACGCGTCACCGTCAGTTTTACCGAAATGAGCTTGATAGCCTCCAACACGAACATGTAAATACAAAACTCAAGAAGTATGAATATTATAGTTTTTCTGTATGATACTGATAAATGTTTTATTTTATTTCAGTTCAAGTGGAGACCCTATACACCGCCGGAGCTCGATATACATTCTCTTGCACCTATCTGCTGAGATAGTCCCGACTTGTGGAGAGCCAGAGTTCCATTGATCTGTTGGGAGATCGTGAAGATGCATGTCCCGGACCGTGTGCTACGACAGTTTACACACTCTCAACATATTCCAGATCCTGTTGAGCAGATCGATCGTCGGTGGTGCCCTACATCGCACCGTACTGACTGGGCCGTAGTCCGTACGGCCTACATAGACATGTGGGTTCACAGGTGGGATTTCATACAGGATACGAGGCCCACAACTGTTGACTACACCGCGTATATGCGTTCGTATTGGAGTATCACACGTAGATGGATCACGCGTGACCCACAGCCGTCAGCTGGACACATGCCACGCCCACCGACAGATAGTTACATCCCTAGTGGGATGAATGAGAGAGATTACGTAAGTTTCTAAGCTAAATTATAACATTTTTTATTGAGTTGGTACTTAATAAATTGTTTACCTCGCAGGTCCGTGTTTTAAATAACATTGATGCTGATATTGATGGGCACGTGACTGAGATTCAGGATCAGGTGGCATTAGGGATCATCAGCAGGATCAAGAAGAGCATAGCGCAGGTGTTTCATAAGACTCACGTCGACGAGTTCGCAGGCCGTGAGGACAGGTCTCGCTCATTTGGGCGGGCGTACGCTCGACGTCGACGGCTACGTGATGATGACGCTGGCACTTCGCATGCTGATGGAGCCGATACTTCGCATGCAGATGGAGCCGACACTTTGTAGCTTCATACACAGCCAGATACTCAGATAGTTGAGGCTCATCAAACCCAAAAGGCGGGAAAGAGCGAGGGGGAGGGGGGAAGAGATGGAGAGGAATGAGGGGAGCTATATTGGGTTGTATTTGAACTTATTTTGTTAAAATTTATAATTTTTCTGAATTTTCAAATACTAAACTTTTGAAGATCAATTATTGTTCATATACATAATCGTGCGTGTTTAATTCATGGTTGAATCATGTATATATTATTATGATTGTTGTTTGCAAATAAATTGGTATATATATGAGTTAACAGGCACGTATACAAAACATGCACATCAGGCTGTGCATGTTTTGTATAACTTGCAACTTCACGGGAGTTCAACTCCCGTGAAGTTGCAATCTCAACTTCCCAGAGATCGCCTCTCTGAGAATATTTGCCTGTAACTCCACGGGAGTTGAACTCCCATGGAGTTTTTCGCTACATAAATCTTCATGGGAGTTGAACTCCCGTGAAGATTTATGAAGAAATTAAACTTCACGGGAGTTCAACTCCCGTGAAGTTTAAAAATATACTAAACTTTACGGGAGTTAAACTCCCGTGAAGTTTCCCAAAAATTTTTACAAAAACCGATCTGTTTTCAACGCTGAGCTGAAAACAGGTCGGTTTTTACAAAAATTTTCAAAACCGGTCGTTTTTTGCAAATAAAAACCCAAAATGGTCGGTTTTGAAAATTTGTCCTTTTCAAGCAAGGTTATTAACTGAGGCCATTTTCAAGTGGGGACCGTTTGGATGAGTAGATGAGAATGAACTATCTCACTACTAAGGACTAACTTTGTAGTTAGCTTGGTATCAAGGATACTCAATTGCACATTTTTCTCAAACACCACACACACACACAATACCTTATATATACATGTGTATGTGTGTATACAATGAGAAATCTGGATATCCTTAGTACATGGGACAAAATTTGATCATTGGTAGTGAGGTAGTAACTTCTCATCCACTAATTTAATGAGTGAATAATAAAGTGGGGAATATTTTCGAATAGGCAATTTTAAATGTGTGGATGAGAAGTGGTCACATCACTAGCAAATACCTAGTTGTCCTTTGTACTAATGATACTCATTTTTCTCTTATACCATACATATGTATATGCATATACACACATACACACACCAATATGTACTACAGACACCAACATGCCCCCCTACTCGCACCTGCATGCGCGCACAACATATTGCAGGTCATCTTAGAAAGTCCTATAAACCTTGTTGTATAAAAAGTTTTGTGAAAGGTAGCTGTATAGAACAAAGTGTAGTTATGTGATGGTTTAGAGATATGCATATGACAAGAAAATGTGTAGCTGTGTAAATACCAATAAGAAAGCCACAGTTTATGCTGGATTTTCTCGTACAATGCATATGGATTGAATTCTTTGATGATAACAATGAGAAATAAGGTTTGTAAAAACTACTGAAGATTCAATACTCACCCAATCAAGAAGATACATGCATTCTTCTTTTGGCCTGAAATTTGTGTTGCTCTTCCCACTAACAATTTCCAGAGCCACAATCCCAAAACTGTAAACATCTGCTTTATCGGTCAAGTAACCTCTCATTGCGTATTCTGGAGCCATATACCCTCTGCAAAATGAAATCATTTTTAAAGCAATAAAATATCTAATAGGAAAAATAAAAAGCACAAAATGCTAAAGTAAGACAACAAAGTTTCTATCGGAGTCTTATTCTTAATAGATAATCATAATACAGAGCGACAATTAGGCGAGAAGCTTAGTATGTTCTATGTACTACAACTTAAAGGCATATATTACTCCAAAAAGGAAAAAAAACCTTAAGCCTAGGTTTTGCTTCCTTTCTCGTATATAATAACATGTGCAACAACATAGAAAAATACATTAAAGTGCACAGAACTTTCCCCCTAATAGTTGTCATCTCCTTTCTCCAAAATCAATAGTTTAAGGTTGTAGTGGGATGACAAGAGGGGATCTTTCGTTATCTCAACATTGTTATCCTCCGACTGTTGGCCAAGATTTTTATGTAGCAGAATTATTGAGGAACAATATGTAGCTGGAGAGAACTCTGAACCAATGTTTATCTTTTATTAGAGAGCATGCTAGGATGCCATACATTCCTCTTATCATGATCTATATTTCTGTTAGATCAACTTATTTATTCTTCCTAGTTACTAGATTACTTAAGGTTAACAGCTTTGTTTGAAAGGGTAATAACATTGCACGATGTGAGTGGTATCGGTTTCATAACTGCATCAACAAAAAACTTAGTACAATTTTTAGGAAATAGAAGTTCTGATGGGATTAGAGGATGTGAGTGGTATCGGTTTCATAACTGCATCAACAAAAAACTTAGTACAATTTTTAGGAAATAAAAGTTCTGATGGGATTAGAGGAGAAGGATAATTGACAAATTCTTTGCTATTACTTCCTGTACACTCATCCATTAGCTTCCAAAGGAGATGTTAGAGAACTATAGTTTGACATTTTCCTTAAATCTCAATCAGTGTGACGCATGTATGATAAGTATAGAGAGATCTGAAAGAACTTGATAATTTTATTCATTGCATTAAGGTCTCTATATAAAAGAGCAACAGGAAAAGTTCTACTATCATCAGTGATGTGAGAAAAAAATAAAGAAAAACAAGATAGTCTTAACTATGTTATTTAACACCCCCACTCAAATTGTATTTGAGCACCAAAGACAATATGCCGAGGAGTGTGAATGATAATTTGCTTGCAGATAGGAGATATTGCGGTGCTTTCCAGTGAGAGCTTGGATAGAGACGGTGAGGGCGTAGTTGTTCACTGGATGGAGTGTGGCCAGCAGTGCTGGCTGAGGGACAACATGGACCAAGGTGCTGATCGGGAGAGAGCATGGCCAAGGGTGTTGGCCAGAGGGTCAGGGGAGCTACCGGGGAAGAGCAACGTTTTAAATATCGAATATCGAAAATATATCAGACGACCAAAATTCGTATCAGATCCTAGTTATCGGGATATATCGGGGATAAGTAGTAAAAATTAGAGTGTTATATTGGATGATGAGCATATATAATATATGTCTTAAAATGTAATCTAAGCATATTTAATAAAAAATAAACATGCTAATATGCAAATAACACATGTTTAGGGTCACTTACCAATTATTTTTGTTTAGTGGATGCGAAATAGAAAAAGATAGCATTGTTTTTGTTTAATATGCAGGTCAGGTATGAAAAAAGCGAGTTCGTCTCCAAACTCGAACCAGTTCATTTAGAATGTAAGTTGTAGAAAACTGGGCGATTTTTAGCCCATGAGAAATTGACCACTTTATCAGATTTACACCGATAACAAGGAAAATTGGTCAAAAACTATATGCGATATATTTTTGCAAAAATCGCATCAACCATAGTCCAAACTTTATATATCAGCAATAAATCGATAAAATCGGCCTATTTTTAAAACACTGGGGAAGAGCTTTAGCCCTTGAGCTTAGAAGAGGGACAGAGGGTGAGAAATGTCGCTCAAGCATTTCATTGAACACCTTGTGTGCAACCAACAAACCTTGTGTGCATCCATCGGAAGTATAGGTGGTGCATGATTGCTTTAGGGAAGCTCTTGAGATGTGATGCAAGTGGTGCGAAAGCTCGCGGGCTGGAGGTGGAGCTTCAAGCAGCGGAGGTTGATAGCAACTGCAATGAGGATTAGCGGCGCTCGAGAGTTGCGAAATGAGAGCGTGGTGAGGGCAGTGGTGAGTGCTATGTTTTTGGTGAGACAGCGGAGGTGTGCTAAGATTGTAGCAGATGGCAAAGAAGCTGAAGCAGGCATTGAGGAAATGGGGTGGTTTTCGTCATGGGTCTGCAGAGTACTGGTTGGAGTTTGTAGTTTTGTTGGGGAATTTGGTCAAACAGGTGGAGGGCATGTTGATGTAGTGGGCTTGGAGGCTCAGAGATTGCAAAGCTTTGTGGGAGGGAATTAAGGTAGTGGTTGCGAGTATGTGGAGTTTGGGTTTGGAATGCCTTGTGTGGAGTCTAGGCAGAGTTGCTTGTAGTTGCAGGTGAGAATGAAGGTTGTGTTGCATGGTTGAAGATTAGGTTCCTAAGACCATGAAGGTGATGATGTTTAGGATAAGGCATTAGGAAAAACATTTGTTGTGGTGTGTGTGTTTCTAGTTGGTTTAAGGTGGAATTTGTGGTGAATGAGCAGGTGATTAACAATTTTATTGCATTTTAATACCATTATTTCCTATAATTTTTAAATAATTTTTATTTTCTACTAAGTGTTTTTAATACTTTTTCAATAAATAAAAAGTTGAATGAATAGGAGCTCAAGTGAAAATTATCTCAAGTCTAAAAGACCTATATTGAAGCCAAAAAAGAAGTCAAGAGAAGCCAACTCAACAAAGCCCAAAGACCCAAGTAAAATTGGAGCGAAAGTGACCAAGGGAGCTCATCGATGAGGTGTTGTAACGTGTTTCACCTGAAAGTGTGCAGGGTGATTTTATTGATCCAGTAGTCAATCATATAGAATTGTCCGTCTTTCAATTACATATACAACGAATCAAGTTTGAGTCAAAGCAGAGTTGTAGAACTCAAGATATGACTATTTTAGTGAATCAATGGCAGAATTGTAAGTATCCTGAAATCAGTGCAGAATTTTCTAGCTATGCATCCTTTGGCTGAAAATTGCTTTCTAGAGCTCAAGTTTGATCCAAGGGTGGAGATTGGTTCATGTAGTCTATAAATAGGGGTAAAGAGTGAGGGTTAGAGATGTAAAAATTTTATAAATCATTTTCTAGTGGATAGGAGGACCACTCTTTTATAGGCCTTCTAAATATTATAAAATTTAGTTTTGCAATAAAAATAAAAAATTTCCTCTTTTTTAAGTTTTTTTTCTCGTGAATACTTGAAGAAGTTTGGGTCGGTACAAGGGGCCAATACGTAGCCATGTGAGTTTTTAGTTTGTAAATTTTCTTGTTTAATTAGAATTGCATGTTTAGAAAATAGGTTAGATTTAATTCCTTTAGTTCATGCTTTGCTTTGCTTGTCTAATTTTAATGCTTAGTTAGTTTTTCTTGCTTAATTTAGGAGTAGATTTAATGTCATGCTCGGATAGTTAGTTTATTTTCTCAATTTCTTTTCTTGCCTTTTTATTCATGCTTTCTTTTATTTGCTTATAAAAAACTTAATGAATATGTGGCTAAAATTCTGAGGATAATTAGGATAGGAGGAAACTAATATAACTTGTTTATTAGAATTAGATTTGCTCTCTTTTATGCCTTAATTATTTATGTATAGATTAGCCAATAAAATAATAGTTGATAGAATATTCTAATTTGATAGGCTATATTTTTCTTAAGTGGTTTGATAATCTATACTTATTAGTATTCTAGGGTTATTATTTTCAATTGACTGTCTATGCATGAATTTCAATTTATTTTTAGAATCTTATCTTGATAATTTACGCTTTCTTTAATTAGATTGATAGTTTATACTTGTTAATTCTAAAAATGATTAAAAAAAGAGAGTAACTTCTAGATCTAGTAAATAATTATCTAGTGGAACTATCCTAATTTTCTAGTTTAACTCTCTTGTCTTTCTCTTTTATTTCCTAGTTTTATTACTTGTCATGTTTTCTTTCATTTTCTATTTCTTTTGATTTTTGAATTTATTTCTAATTCTCTTTTCTCTCCATTTCCCCCCTTTTCTCTTGTTTTTCTTTTCCTTTATTTTGTTTTATTTTTCCCTTGTCTCTTTGGTTGTTTGCATTTCTATGCTCTTTTCTCTCCCTCTTTCTCATTTTCTTTTCCTTGACAAAAATCCATAAACCTACTTTCAAACTTTTTCCCCATAAAAAGCCTTTTGTCAAACAACTTCATAAAATAAAAATCTTCAATTTAAAACCAAAGAAACCTCTCCTTGTGGTTCAATATTTTCTATACTATAATTTATTGTGTGCACTTGCAAGACACTCTATTTTTTACATGACAGTAGGCTTGGGCAGGGCTTCAGTGGGGTTATCGCTGCGGTCATGTTGGTTGGAGGCTGCGGATTTGTGGTTTGTTGATGGGTTAGGGTTGACGTTGGGTGGTTGAGCGGTCATTTAAGTTGGAGTGGCGGCAACCTATGGTTGGGTGAGTAGTCACAGTTAGGGTTTGATGGCAATGTTATACTTGCTGGTGGGGTGAGGGCTGTCGGTAGTACGTTGCCATAATTGAGGCTGCAGGCGATAGTGGTGGGGTACCGGCGGCTAGATTGGTCGCCATGGGTCTAAGGCGATGGCCAATGTCGAAGCCGCGGAGGGGAAGCGTGAAAAAACCCGCTCAGTGGCCCCGACGTCAAGAAAGAAGAAAAAATTACCTCTAAGATGAAGAAGATGGCTCTAATACTATGACTAGAATTGAAAAATATGATTATTCTTGATAACCATGGTTACATATACAAGTTAAACACTTAATATGGAAAGTACCAATAAAGGTAGAAAATAAAGGAGAGAATAAAGAAAGAATATGCTACATAAATACATGATTATATGTTAACTAGTAGAGAAGATAGAATATTAAGAGAATAATATTACTATATTTAACTGTATAAATGCTATAATATCAGCGTGAAGCAGAATATATGCTATAATATTAGTAAACTTACACTGTCCCAGCAATGCGAGTGCTGATATGGGTATTCTCTTCATCGTCAAGTTTAGCCAAGCCAAAGTCAGAAATTTTGGCATTAAGTTTCTTATCCAGCAGGACATTAGTCGCTTTGATGTCTCTATGTACAATCTTGAGCCTCGACTCTTCATGAAGATATGCCAGACCCCTCGCTATTCCAAGGCAAATCTTGCACCTTGTTTCCCAGTCTAAATTCAGCCGGCTTTCCTCTGGACCTGAGAAATTGGAATGGAGAACTTATGAACAATTTATCACCATATTTTTTGGACAATTACAAGAAACATGGAAGTAAGAACAAACCAAATAAAGCACGAGCGAGGCTATTGTTTTCCAAATATTCGTATACAAGCAATAGCTGCTTTTCTTCAATACAACAACCAAAGAGCTTCACAAGATGTGGATGTTGTAAAGCAGATATCATGCCTATTTCATTCAAAAATTCACGGTTCCCTTGCCTTGACATTGAAGAGAGCTGTTTGACTGCAATAACAGAACCATCCGGAAGCACACCCTGAGAACATACAAAAAGAAAAGCTAAACTAACAGAACAAAATATATAAGAGAGGATTATTTTCACATTAACACATCAAAAGTTTCACCCGTTTTGAACTATAGTACCCTGAAATTACATTTTCCCAAAAGATATCTTGGATTTTGAATATTTTTAAGAGGCAATTAATATTGTTAACTTAAGGATGAGGACGTGAAATAACATTTTAATAACCACTTAAGTAGAATAAAATAAGGGGGTTCATGAGGTATTATTCTAAAATGAGGGTAACAGTGACCCAAAACAATTGCATGATCTAATTCTTGTTGAATCTCAACTAACAAAAAGTAGCGAAGTGTACTTTACGATGTCTGTTTGACAGGTTTAAACTTCAGGTACCAAAGTAAATAATGGATAAAAATTTTGGATAAAAACTGAAAATAGTCCGTAAGAGAAAAAAACAATTACATAAAGAAACAAATTATTTGTGAGTGATGTTTTGCATCATAAAAGGCATATAATGTGACAGAATACTGTATAAATTGAAAATGTATGCAGTGAGTCCTCCATGTACCTGATAAACTGGTCCAAACCCACCTTCTCCAATCTTGTTTGCAGGATTGAAGTTGCCTGTTGCAGCCTTAATCTGTTTTAAGGTGAAATAACCCGTCATCAATTTTAGGTCTCTGAGCTCTGCACGAAGGAAAAATGTTCGTATGAAAGATGTTAACATTGTGATAGGTATGACGCATGAAAGATGTTAACATTGTGATAGGTATGACGCGAAGCCTATAAGTTGCCTGTGGCATTTATTGACATGACTTCAACTCTAGTAAAATCCCTCGGTATGTTATCAATTATTTCAGAAAATATGTGAATATGGACATACAAAGCAATTCTGGTATGGGTGGAACATAAATTGTTTGTTTCTCTAGGTTTTTGACTATGTAGTTTCTTTGTACGTTGTCCCCTTTTTTACTTTTTTGTGCCTTATACTTAAACAACAACCGCCTCAATTTACAACTCACTGATAGGAAGCTTTTGCTCATAATTTGAAGTAATTAGCGTATAATCTAAAAGCTGTCGCGCGCCTATGCGGAAGCGTTGCACGCACACACAACAAACTTGAGATCACGAAAGAAGAAAGCCACACACTTGCACAAACCAAGCCAATTACGACAAATCAAACCAAACACAGAGATATACGTGGTTCGGCAATTGCCTACGTCCACGGGGAGAGGATGGGGAGATTTCACTATATGGAGGAGAAATACAACGGGTTACAACTCACAAAATCACTCAAATATAACCCTAACCAAAGCTCTCAACTCCCTCACAATATCTCCCTCTCAAAGTGCTCAAAACAATGCTAATTCTCTCCTTTTCTCTCCTTAAGAAACCCTAAAAAACGTGGTCCTATTTATAATAAAACACAATCCCAAACAAAGGAGGATTCCCAAACAAAGAAGGATTCTAAAAACGAGTCTGCCACACCCTGCACCATGGGTGTGGCAGAGGGTGTGGTGCAGGACAGATTCTGCCACATCCTGCACCGTGAGTGTGGCAGAGGGTGTGGTGCAGGACAGATTCTACCACACCCATGACAGACACCACACCAGGGTGTGGTGGAGTCTGTTTTGGGTTATTCTTCACGTTTTTCATAATTTCTTCGCCGTTTTCACAATTCTCCACCTCGGCGAAGTGTTCCCAACACTGAGCGGACACCAACATGAGCACCAATGTGTCGTCTCTCTAAACTCGGCTGCACCAATGTGGTTGCCTACGTACCCCCTCTCCCAAGGGATCAAGCCGCTCGTAGTTCATCCAAATGACCGTCAACGGCCTCAACAATTACGAATGTGCAATAAGTTTCGACAATGATCAAACTTGTTGCTCAGAACCACCTTAGTGAGCATATCCGTCGGATTATCCTTTGTGTGGACTTTCACAATCTTCACATCACCATCTTCAAGAACATCCCGAACGAAGTGATAACGAACATCAACGTGCTTCGTCCTCGCATAAAAAACCTGATTTTTCGCCAAATAGATAGCACTCATGCTATCACAATGAATGGTGACGGACCGCTGCGATATACCAAGTTCCTCCAAAAGTCCGCGAAGCCAAATAGCCTCCTTCACAGCCTCCGTAACCACCATATACTCTGCCTCCGTCGTAGACAAAGCCACCGTAAACTGTAAGGTGCATCTCCAACACACCGGCACACGGGTCAAAGTAAACATATATCCCGTAGTAGACCGACGCTTATCCAAATCCCCGGCATAATCCGAATCAACATATCCAATGCACAACTGCCCACCTGTAGTGTCCCGCTCATAAACCAAACCAACATTGAGCGTACCTCGAATGTACCTCAAAATCCATCTCACGGCGTCCCAATGACCCACTCCTGGATCGTGTATGTATCTCGACACCATGCTCACCGCCTGTGATAAATCCGACCTCGTACATACCATCGCGTACATCAAGCTCCCAACTGCTCTCGCATATGGAGTCTTCGTCATCAACTTACAGTCTTCAACTGACTTCGGTGAAAGGCCAGCTGAAAGCTTCAAATGGGCTCCCAAAGGTACACCAACTGGCTTCGTATCCATGCTAACATGGAATCGCTGTAGAACCTTCTTCAAATAAGCCACCTGTGTCAAACAAATCTTGCCCTTCTTCTTGTCTCTGCCGATCTCCATCCCTAAAATGCGCTTCGCCTCGCCCAAGTCCTTCATCTCAAACTCATTCGAAAGCTGAACTTTCAACTCATCTATAGCTGACCTGAAACTAGAGGCAACCAACATGTCATCGACATAAAGCAACAAATAAATGTACGCACCTCCTCTCAACTTACGAAAATACACGTAAGGATCAAACTGGTTCCGAGTGTACGAATGACCAAGCATAAAACCATCGAATCGCCTATACCACTATCGAGGAGATTGCTTCAAACCGTATAGCGATTTCTTTAACCTGCAAACCAACTTATCTTTCCCTGCAGCCCGGAATCCCAATAGCTGAGTCATATATATTTCTTCATCAAGATCACCATGAAGAAATACCGTCCTCACATCCAACTGATCTAACTCTAATCCATATTGTGCCACCAAAGCTAGCAGAATCCGAATCGAAGAATGCTTCACCACCGGAAAGAAAATCTCATTATAATCAATACCTTCTTCCTGTGCATAGCCCTTCGCAACCAACCTAGCCTTGAACCTCACTGGAGTGCCCTCAATGCCCTCCTTCTTCGTGTACACCCACTTGCACCTAATCGCCTTCCGCCCCTTTGGAAGCTCAACAAGCTCCTATGTATCGTTCTTATGAAGGGACTCCATCTCCTCCTGCATAGCCACCTGTCACGAATCAGCCTCCGAACTTTGCTCGGCCTCTCTGAATGTAGTAGGCACCATCTCATCAATACTCTCCACCGGAAGTGCATATGCAACTGTGTCGGCATACCGTGCTGGCACCCGTATGTCTCTCCTCTGTTTTCGAACCGCAATAGAATCCTAAACCTGAGCCATCGGTCCCTGATCCTGCTCATGAGTACCCGTATCCTCCGCATCATCGTCGTGCTCGTCTGACGTCACCTCAGTCGGCACTCTAATGGATACTGCACCATCTGGACTCTGTGGAGCTGCATCAATCTCCACCACCTGCGATATCTCCTCTGTCGGGTCGCTCTCCACCTGATGAGAGCTGGGAAGCTTCAAGATAGAAGCCTCATCGAATGTGACGTCCCTACTCAGCACAATCTTCTTATCAACTGGATCCCAAAACTTGTATCCCTTGACACCACACTTGAATCCTACAAATATGGCCTTTCTAGCTCGAGGTTCCAACTTATTAATTTTAACATGATAATATACAAGGCAACCAAATACCTTAAGCTGGTCATAGTCATGTGTTGTCTCTCCCGACATCTCCATAGGGGTCTTCCCCTCAATCGCAGATGAAGGCAGCCTATTAATGAGGTGGCTCACATAAGAAAGTGTCTCAGCCCAAAAGATCTTTTCCAAACTACTATGCGCCAATAAACATCGAATCTTCTCCAGCAAAGATCGATTTAAGCTCTCCGTCACCCCATTCTGCTGCGGTGTATGACTAACTATGAAGTACCTCTCTATGCCCTCGTCTCGACATAGTTGCTGAAAGGGGTCTGAAGTATACTCGCCGCCGTTGTCGGATCGCAACGTCTTGATCTTTCTCCCAGTCTGCAGTTCTAATCTCTTCTTTCACTCCACAAACAAATCTAGGACTTCACTCTTATGCTTCATGGTGTACACCCAACATCGCCTAGAATAGTCATCAACGAACGTGACGAACCAATGTCGACCACCAAGTGATACCGTCTTGGTGGGACCCCAAGCATCTGTGTGCACGTAGTCCAAGATGCCCCTCGTCCTATGAATGGTCGTCCCGAACTTCACCTTTGTCTTCTTGCTAAGTACACAGTGCTCACAGAATTCCACTTTACCACTCTTGGCTCCCTTCAATAGCCCCTGCTTGCACAATACCTGTAGTGACTTTTTACCTGTGTGCCCTAGCCTGTAATGCCAAAATCTGCTCATGTCCACCTCTGAAATAGCCGAAGCAACCTGGCCAATCTCGGTGCTCCCCTTCAGATAGTATAAATTACAACTGCGGACTCTCTTTATCACCACCAAAGATCCCTTAGTAACCTTCGCTACAGCATCCTCAAAGGTCACCCTGAATCCCTTCGCCTCCAAAGCTCCAACTGAGATAAGATTCTTTTTCAGTTGAGGAACGAATCACACCTCCTTCAACTCACGGACTACTCCATCGTGTATCCGAATCCTTACAGTACCTATCCCACAAATGCCACAGGATTGATCATTTTCCATGATAACAACACCCCCGTCGAGTCTCTCAAATGATAAAAACCAATCTCGCCTAGGAATCACATGATAAGTAGCGTCAAAATCAATCATCCAATCCGATGCATCCAAATGGTTCATCTCCGGAGTAATCAAAAGAGAAAAACACGAATCATCGGAATCATCGCCTTTCGTAATGTTCACCTCATTGGCATTCGGGCCTTTTTTCTTACTATCCTCCTTCTCCTTGAGCTTCGGACTGGTCTCTATTCTAATGTCCATGTTCCTTGCAGAATGCACATTAGTTCTTTGCTAATTGGTGGCGGCTTCTTGACTTTGATCTTCCTCTATTATCACCTTTCGGATATGAGCTTCTACCTCTCGTCGAGAAGGCCTCTCCTGAAGTACTAACACGGGAAGTCTCCTTATCTTTCCTCCTCAAATCGTAGTTCGTCAATGCGTTAGTCACTTCACTATAAGTGATAGAAGATCTCCCGTTCAACAACATAAGCACGAAGGTATCATACTCCTCATCCGGTAAGGAGCCCAAAAGAATAATAGCCTTGTACTCATCCGTGATCTTCTCATCCACGTTCGCCAAGTCCGCCAACAACTTAGTGTAGTTGTTCACATGAGCCGCAAGCGAGGTGCCTCGGGACATCTGGAATCTGAATAACCTACGCAGCAAATACAACCTGTTCTCAACACTCTTCGTAAGATACTTATTGTTGAGAATTTCCCACATCTTCATCGCAGACGTTACCCCAATCACATCATATTTCAGCTCCTGTTCCAAACAGGACCTGATCACCCCACAAGCGTTCCTATTCATCTTTTCTCATACCGACTCTTCATATTTAGGTGGCCTCACATCGATCATGATGGTCTCCTTGAAATTTTGAGCATTGAGCGCATCCTGTACGTCGCTCATCCACAAACCAAAATTAATTTTACCGTCATATTTGAGCATTGAGCGCATCCTGTACGTCGCTCATCCACAAACCAAAATTAATTTTACCGTCATATTTCACTACACTAATCTTAGTGTTCTGAAAACCCACTTGAACTGTGCCGATCATCTTGCTGCTTTCACCAACTTCTTCACCCATAATCACAAATTCCAAAATGCAAGGAAATATTCAAACTTTGAAAGGAATAAGAAATTACCCAACTGAATCCTAGATTGGATACCAAATAGAACTCCTAACCACACGAGGAAAGCGAGATCTTCAACGGTAACTTCAAACACTAACTCTACCAAAGCCTAGAACTCCAAGAACCAAGCTTCCAACTGAATCTTCCTCCACCTAATCCAAAACCCTAGATCTGAAATCTGAGCTCTGATACCACTTGTCGCGCGCCTATGCGGAAGCGTTGCACACACACAACAAACTTGAGATCACGAAAGAAGAAAGCCACACACTTGCACAAACCAAACCAATTACGACAAATCAAACCAAACACAGAGATATACGTGGTTCGGCAATTACCTACGTCCACGGGGAGAGGATGGGGAGATTTCACTATATGGAGGAAATATATAACGGGTTACAACTCACAAAATCACTCAAATATAATCCTAACCAAAGCTCTCAACTCCCTCACAATATCTCCCTCTCAAAGTGCTCAAAACAATGCTAATTCTCTCCTTTTCTCTCCTTAAGAAACCCTAAAAAACGTGGTTCTATTTATAATAAAACACAATCCCAAACAAAGGAGGATTCCCAAACAAAGAAGGATTCTAAAAACGAGTCTGCCACACCCTGCACCATGGGTGTGGCAGAGGGTGGTGCAGGACAGATTCTGCCACCCTGCACCGTGGATGTGGCAGAGGGTGTGGTGCATGACAGATTCTACCACACCCATGGCAGACACCACACCAGGGTGTGGTGGAGTCTGTTTTGTGTTATTCTTCACGTTTTTCACAATTCCTTCGCCGTTTTCACAAAAGCATGATCTAAAATTGAATTACTTTGCACATATTTTATTGTACGCGTCAATGGGATCTATCTACTTGTTTCACATTGTATATCTGTTTGCTGCGGGATCTAATTTATCTAGGCCGTGATTACAGTTAATCTAAGATAAATACACTAGATCTTCTCCCTTTGGATATGTATCTATATTCCTTCAAAGATCCAGTTTTTTCACTCCAAATGAATATCAAGAAAGAATAATTACAGAAACCCAAAAACATCATTATCAGTGCTGGTCTTATTCCCAATACCCTTGCTTTGGTATCTTTTAATGTACAATGTGATCACATGAAGAAATTCTGATACATAAATAGGAAAGATGATGTTCTATTGATAAATAACTATAACTTGGAATTTATCTGGTCCCATCCTATACAGATTGGCCTGAAACAACAAACCTTAGAATCATGCGTGAGCACAATGCTGAACCTTTTATCCTTTTATCAAATAAAAAGAATACTGTTATTGTTAACAGAGAAGTATCTTAATATACAATCTCAACCGATCCATGATATATACTTTGTGAAGAGATCATAAAACCAAAAGGATTTGCAGTGTTAGAAAAAGTAAGCTTTTGAGAATGAAGAGAACATTGAAGATCTCAATATAATCACATGCTGATGCCTTGGGCAAAATGGGCTCAAGTAGAATCTGCAAATAGGAATTTCGTTAAAATAACTCAGTGTCTTACCTTTGTTTGCATTCTCTTTTCTCCTCCAGCGAATCCAGAGGAAGGTCAAAACAAGCAGAACTGTTACAGCACAAGCAATAGCTATACCCGAAATTGATCCCACTGATAACTTATGTTCTCCAGTGTCAGGCGTAAAATCTACAAGTAAAAAAAAACATAAGAAAAAAAAGAATAACACAATCACATAATATAAACAATTGACTGCAAGATTTAGACCATAATAAGCAATGTTATACTTGGTGTAACTGTGATTGCTGATACGAGAGGCCCATATACACCAACATCAGGTATTATATTTGTTCCCTTCCCTGTCCACTGGAAGTGCATTTCCAAGGTGCTGCCATCAACAATAGTAGTAAATGTTTTAACGATCTCTCTTCCAGTTCCTTTTGCTTCTGTGGCTATATTAAAATCTTGTAGGACTTTTTGGCCCTGCAAGAATAAAACATTTGGTCTAAATTTTAAGTGGAAAATACGAAGAAACAAGAGATAGAGATTACAAATACATCCAAAGCCAGCTTCAATAGGTTGTCAAGAGATGTGTTTAGAATCTTAGGACTAAGGGGAAAATCAAGGGGAACTATTCAACATTGACTGGTCTAAAAAGGATTATAACCATAAATCATAAATGCAAATTGGAGAATATAGTATCTAAAGAGATATAGATCCTTTTTACCATCCCAATAAGGAAGTTTCTCTGAATGTTCACTTGGAAGTGTGCTTTTTTGAGTTACATCTATGTATTTAATTTAATTCAAAGTATATGCTAACCAATGTTGAATGGATATAGGTGCAGGTGAGGATGTGGTGAAGATGCAAATTTGTATAAGGTAGGGTGTGGGGATACAAACTATAAATATATTGAAAATAATTACATTAGATCAACATTGTTTTTATTCACATATTACGAGAATTAAAATTCCTCTAATATTTTTATTTTTCGTTTATTATGAAGATTACAAATTGGAAAACGACTCGTTTTTTACCTAGATATCCAAATGACCCTTCAAAATCATATTTCTAAACTGGATAAGGGTTGAAACATACCCGACCAATGTCCAACGAGTTTCAAGAAGTGGATGTAAAGTGTGAGATGTACAACCAACAAGGTATGACAAAGTGTTTAAACTAAAACACTTATCATATAACTAAAACATGTATTATATAATTGAGTACACATCTAAATTAATGTATGCATATATTCAGGGAGTGTCAAGTTGGACACGGGTACGGCAAGTATCGTACATGGGTATGGGAGCCCAAATGAGGTGTCGAGGAAACTTAGAAGCTAACCTGTTTTGCTATAATAAAAAAAATTTACTTTCTATAGATGTAATTGACACTAAAAAACCTGTTCGATGATCTTAGTTGTTACTTGTTAACATTACAATTGACAAGATTTTCACTGAAGCACAACATTACCTGGATGTACACATCAAATATGCGCACTCCATTACTGCTGTATGTTTGGTCGTCCGTAAACATTATCTCAGCAAAATGGAGTTTTACTGTATAATTCCCTTTTTGTAGGCAAAGTCCAAAGTACTTGAGAGAGAGGGGGCTGAGACGAGCTGACATGTATAGACCTGGATTGGTCATGTTAAGAACCGATGTGTTCGTTGTAATATATCTTGGATTAACATTTCCAATAAAGTCTCCTGTACTGCTATAAGCCCATTTTCCACTTCCAGAAATTCCATACATAGACGACCCTTGTTGTAATGTATCCTCTTCATATTCATTGTTGCCTATTTTGACCCTACTCCCTCCACAGTTTATGAACAAGTTATAATCTGCAGAACATATTGGATGCATATATATAGGGTCACTATTCATTAACATAATTAAAAAATCTTGGAGAAAGATGAAGGTTTTGATACACACTTTTTGCGTCCCCAGAACACTGAAGGTTCCTCTTAAAGCATGCTGCTATCCTTCAAAATGAAATAGAGAGGAAAATAATCTCATGAATCTGAAACTTATATCAATAATATATCACCATTTGTTCAAATTAGTGGGATCTTACGGGCTATCATATGTGGGCGAATAACTAGCGACCAAATTTCTGCAAAGTTAATGAAGTATTATAGACTGGAGATAAAATGCCACAATTTTGAATACAAGAAAGTACAAAGACTTACACATTTGCTTGTTGACAACCACTTGGCCATGAGGGTCCTGAAAAGTTGTTAAAAGATATATCTCTGCAATATTCAATCTCTGATGTGATTAATACTTATACTTTAATGACAATATCTCTTATTAACATATTAATATCAGTTGAAACTATTAGTAGACTTAAACATACATGTTTTGGCGGCTTTGCAGGATCCAGGAAGGTATTGTACCACTGAGAAAATTGTTAGTAAGGAACCTTCAAAGAATAAAACAACATCACATATGATAAGTATTTTAACCTAAAACTGAACTTAAAACTAAAACAATATATGCTTACATAAACATCAGAAATTGGAGGTTTGTGAAGGTGCTTGGAATTTCACCTGAAAAGTTGTTAAAGCTAAGATCTCTGCAAGAAGAGCATATTCTATCAGAAGTAGGAAAAGACTATTTTCACACATTGAAACATCAAAAACCTCTGGTAAGAAACTCTAGGCTGAACAAATTCTACACAGTAAAATTGTTTGTAGTTGTAAAATTGTCGTTCCTATCTCAAGCACACAGAGAAGGGACTGTTGCAAGAAGAGGAACAATATAGCAGCCAGTCCGTTACGTAAAATTCCAGACATTACCGAAAAAATCTAACAGATACATGAGCAACTGGTATGACATGCTTTAATTTTATTAATGAAAATATTAATGAAAAGGAAAAGGTAGACAGCAAAGAAGTGATAAAAAAGGACAATGAAAATGACAAACCTGACCATCATTAAGCTGTTGGCGCAATACTTAAGTGGTTGCCTAACATGGCATTGACTATCGAGTACCAAATTTGAAGAGGTATATGGCAAAATGTTCAGTAGCCACTATTGCATTTAGGAATTATCTTTGTTTAATAAACTTATCCTTTCCTTTCGGAATGACTGATCTTTCTGTTGGAGGCTCGCATGGGTGCAACATGAAATGGTACACTAGCAAATGAGAATTTCTGGAAAAGTTACACAGGAAATAGGAAGGGGAAAAAAAACATGTAGAAGGCTTCTGTAGAAAATCACATAGGTGGAGATGAAGACAACAAGCCTACAACGAATTTTGATGCGCACATCACTGTCAGCAATCAATAACGTAATCAGTGGGTGGAGATTGCGCTAAGAATAACTCATTCCCGAACCATAGAAATGGTATCTACCAAGCTGGCAAGCAAAAGCATTAAATAGGGTTAGTTTGTTTTTGGTATAAATAACAGAAAAACTGAATTATTCTGTTGGGTTGTCGCCCCCCCCCCCCTCTGGCAGAAGCCACTGTCGCCTGCTTCCGGGTCTACGCCAGTATGGTCATCCCCGTCTCCTTTTGGGCCATTGATGTTTGCTCTCCATTGCCGTTGATCCCACTGTCAACTCCTCCATTGATGTTGATGTATTACTGCGACAAACTGAACTTTGTAATGTTGAAATTGACCATGAAAAATGTCATTTGTTGATGGGGAAAAAGAATCTGCTCTGGTATAGCCTGGTCCGTAAGATTTTTTTCATAGTAAGAATGATATTATTTCACAATGATAGAACGCTTTGGGAATCAATTTTGGATGGGGACTTGTTTTCTGCTTCTAAGATGGGTTTGGAGTGAGTCTGAGAGCGGAAGGAAAAGATAGGGGTAGTGATCAAGGGCGTCAGAAAGGAGAGAATTTTAATGGGATTCTTGAGGGTTTTATTCATGGGAGTTCGGCTTGTGAATTTGGGGGAAGTTTGGTTTTCTAGATTTATTTATTGGAAGAGATGATTGCATGATTCATAAAATACCCTTGCTCAACTAATGATATTCCCAACTCATTGATGCTTATTATTAATTTCCACTTTCCAGCTGGACCTGCAACGTCACCTGTCCCATGGAGTTGTCCCATTTTGGGTACTCCTAGCAGCACTCTTGCACTAACAGCTACTTCATTGATAAGTAGGCCGACGAACGAATAGATGATAATGATTCGTAATTCATGCAATGTCTGGTGTCTTCATCTCCTAGCTCCCTATATGATTTTCTATAGAGGGTCCTACAGAAAATTTTTCCCCCATAACAACAACGACATGGCGAAAGTGCTCTCATATACAGTGTCTGATGGCTACATTCACATGGAGATGTTTGTGCTTCTTAGTGTAGTTGCCAACATTGTATCAGGGAACCAGCTGTAGGAAATCCTGAATCCCAATATTACCAGAAATATTTAAAATAAAACTATATATTCACCATGAGCAGAATTTTATCACTAGTACGAGACTTTTGACTTATTTGTTTCATCTTGAACTATACCACTTGCATGTTAAACTCAAGAAGCCATTCAGCATCAACTATACCACTCAACAAGCATGCTTTCAGATTGTTTTTCGTATCAACTTACAGAGTCCTAAGCAATGGCAAATCTCCTATATAATCCGGGATTTGCCCAGAAAGCGACAAGTTCCTCAAAACCCTGCATCATACCATCAACTTCTACAATCAGTAAGCAAGTCGCGTGACTAGTATCTGTCGCATAATAATGAAATACTTGAAATCAACGACAATAACTCACAGTCTTTGCATATTTTTCATCTTTTTCAACAGCGGGAACTCCACGATTCCTCCTTTTATGTCAGTCACTCTCCTGTGACATCAAAACCATGTCAATAAGGAAATCCGCTGTTTTCACAAGAAAGAAGAAAACTAGAGAATAGTACAGTTCTGATAGGCTCTCAAGTGTAGAGAAGTTGGGAGGAAACGGTCCCTCCAAATTTGTTCCTTGCAAGTTCCTGCAAATTATCCATTTGTGTGAATGTTATTTTTTAGTGAACACTTGTTATGAGGAGCTAAGATATTTAAAAACCGAGTACTCACAGACATTCAAGTATCGTCCAGTTAGAAATGAAGCTAGGAATTTTTCCAGATATAGGGTTCCCATCAAGCCTCCTGAAAAATGGAAGGTCAATTGAGAATTTAATTACAACGATTCTGCAACATCTGAAATTTATTCAAATATAAAAAAAAACTTCAAATCAGGTTCAACTTAATTCTTTCCAAGAAAAAAAAGAAAACAGTTCATAGTTACATTTGAATCAATGTACATTACGTCCTAATTCAAGATTTTGCATATCTCTATAGAAGAGCTCTCTACTTTTTGATGATTGAATGCATTCACTATTAAAAGGGGAAAAAAAGGGATAGCACGATCACAGCAACTTGGAGGCTCATTTGGAGGGCGGGAAAAAGTAATGGGTGTGTTTTACATATAAAGAGGCAGATTGAAGAAGATGCTAGGAGAAGATCCCACACTTTTTCTAATTTGTTCTCAATACTCCAGCTCAATATGTTCTCATGCTGTTAATATTACTTATCCTTGCTATGAATTTTCTTTAAAAAAAATACAATGGAGAGTCTTCTGAAATGCTTTGACGGAAGCAATGAAAAGCTGACTCAGCAGATAAATAAGATGAATGCATGATTCACATTTTAACATAAAAAATGATATGGCAGTCCAAAGACAGATAATTCTACTTGACTTACACGTCTGTTAAATTTCTAAGCTTGCCAAGTGTATCCGGCAACTCCCCACTTAAATTATTTGAAGCCAGAACACTGCAATCAATCAGCACAGGTGAAAACAAGAACCAGAAGTGTTAAGAACTTAGGAAATAAAAACAATGAGATCATTGAATTTCAGAATGATGGAGGAACTCACAGACGATCTAAGTTGACCAAGTTTCCAAGGGACTGAGGAATCGGTCCTTGGAGTTTATTATCTTCCAATACACTGTCCCAAATGGAAAACAATGTCATGTTTATGCATATAAGTGACAATTAGCTAAAGGCCAAAGAGGGAAAATGCATACAGGGTTTTAAGAGTGGTGATCTTTCCCATTTCGTCAGGAATTTTTCCAGAGATCTGATTTCCAATAAGACTCCTATGGAGCAAGGAGCAAGTACATAAGTCAGTTGCAAACACATTTATATAATGGATATGAGCTATCATTTTATTAGCAAAACCTAGAAATAAAGACTAGAGAGGTCCACCTGCTTCAATGTGACTTGCACGATGACCTCACCACAAGTCTATATCTCAACAAGTCATTTATCAAAATGAGCTGCCACCTCATGCCTGTTATTTCACTTATATATGTACATATGTATATACAACATACATATATATGAGATATAAGGGTATATTGTGTTAGCCCTTATGTTTTGATGATGTTTTACAACCACCATTATCGGTACTAATTGCTTATTGAGTGGTAATGCAGTTAATATACATATCAAGCATGTTAGTACCACAAATAGAGGATTGGATGGAATATGCGCTACAACGATGATATCCAAAGGAGGAGGAGACATAGTGATGAAGCAACATTCATTCAAGAACACCAAATGTAATAAGAAGCTTCATCCAACTCAAGCTATATCAAGACTCAAAGAATTGTATTCTACGTAAGGATATTAGCTAGTTTTTATTTTTCTCTCTAGTGCTAAAATATAGGCAAATAGTTTAGATTTCATCTGAAGCTATTGGGATATCACACACACACACTTTCATACATATAGTTTTGAGCGTTTTTCATAAAATACTATTTTTCACAAGTATGGGGACCTATTTGCAAAAATCATTTTTCAAACAATTTGTTTTTAGTATTAAAAATATTTTACAAAGTTTCACAATTTTCAGAAGTCAAAAGAACATTTTACAAATATTTTAAGTGAGTCAAAAACCTATTTTTTGAGTGTATCAGTTTGCGGTCGACCGCCACGATCGATCGCGCCTGAGTTCATTCGTCAGTGGGCAACAGAGACTTTCACGGTCGACCGCAGAAGTCTCTGGACTTTTCTGCGTTTCTGGGCTGTCTCGCGGTCGACCGCGAAAAAATTAAGGTCGAGCGCCGCTTATTTTAAACGGTCATCTGGTACAGTTTTTCAACGCCGATTTCACACGATCTCAGCGCAATTTTGTTTCCAGGTTTTTGGGGATTGGGTATGGATTCAAACAGCTGTGGTTTTTTATTTAAACATATATTCTTCTTCTTCCTCATAGTCCCAGCTCTTTCAAAATATTTCAGAGAACGTTTTTACAGAGCTTAATTTTTAAACCTGTTTCTTTCTGAGTTTTTGTGTTTCACATCCCAGCTTCAGTGTGATCTTCTCTTTACCATAGGGACATTGTAAAGAGAGGGTTTTTACACCAATTTTTACTATTTTGAGAGCTTAATCTTGTAGAGATCAATTGTGTGGGAGTGTGATCTAGTGAGATCAACTGTGTAGTGTGAGATCGTGAGGGGATCGCTGTGTAGAAGAAGTTTTGGCTTCCAAACCGGGTTGTGTAGTGGATTTCTCCTCGAGAGTGGGGAGCGGGGACGTAGGTCAGCGGACCGAACCTCGTTAACACATCGCGCGTCACAGGATAATGATTCCTAACTCTATCTCCTCTATATTGATTGCTTTTGGATATAGTGTTTTGCTTGTCTTAATTTTTATTGCACAATTATAGCCTTGTGATCCTAATCACCCCCCCCTCTAGGGTCCAACATATTGTATATGAGTTGTCACCTCATTTAGAAAAATAAGCTACTAAGAAATAGGAGCGGTGACGTCGACATTCAGCGTGTCATTAATGATGGAACTTACCACTCTCTTGGTAACTAATTAAAAAAACTGAGCTTCCATCATTCCCATTTTTCCTAGATAAGTTCATGTGTATCAGTATATGTATACGTTTGTGTGTTAGTCTAGATATTGTATCTCACATACACGAACAGATAAGATTGACACAGAAGGTAGAAAAGTTTAGTTACAAGTTTGTGAGGGGCAGAGATGCCCATGCCACAGGGATGGATCCAGATAGATAGTTCCATGTGAGATCTCTGCACAATCATTTTACCATAGTTAGCGATATATTATCCCATTGCCTTCAGGTATTTATGCTTCTGCTACAACATAGCCACTTACAATACTTGTAGGGAAGTCAAATTGGCAAACTCATCTGGGAGAGCACCTCGAAGGTTTAGACCTTTGAGCAGGCTGAAATTTCACGTATTAGTCATATAGTTAAAAAACAAAATCCAAAATCACTAGGAAACATATGTTTGTAAGAAAGAAACTGATCTATAATTGCTCATATATGGTTGTTTCATACATAAATCCAATAGATTTTTTATGTGGTTCAATAAAAAAAAAAAGAACTGGCAATATAAATATTTAAGCTGTACATGCTTGTAACATGGCAGGTGTTTGGAGTGGAGGTGCATTCACACGTGACATTTCTGGCGAAGGGGCTCTTCATGGGTACTACCCATCCATTATTGCCACTGCATGGATCAACACTGAAGTCCCAATCCACTCGTAGACTTGTGGAGATTTTCTGGAGGGCATTAACTGTTCAAAATGAGGCCGCAAGTGTTTGTCAATGCCAACATAATCAAAATACAATTAATTTGCCATCACTTAGTAGTAAGATGATTATCTAAGTAAGCTCTTTCACTATTTTGCATATACTACCATAAACATCTAGAGGTTTTTCCCAAAACTACCATAAACTTTTTGTTGGAAAGCTACCACGAACTTTCAAAAACTGCAAAAATTACCATATATTGAAATTTTTTAATGACTTTAGTTGTTGGGATTTCTCTCTCTGAAAATGATATAAAAGATCACACAGATATTCAAGAGTAACTAACGTAGCATGAAAGTGATAAATTTCATAATCCATCAATGGTGTTCTTTAAATCCATAAAGAACGACCTTTGAAACCACGAAGAGACAAACTCGAATCCATGCAGTAATATAAAAGAGAATTTTTATTGATGAAAAGTAATCTAATAATTATAGGGTTACGTGCCTCTTTTAAATAGAAAACAAAGATTAGAATTACAAAAAAAAAATATAAAGTACCAAATCCTACTCTAAAAAGACTCTCTATAATAGAAGAAACAAATTAGTCCTATATGAATCAAAATCAAGTTTGTTTCCTAATCTAAATTGACTCCAACTTTATTACTAAAATAAATAAAAGCTAATTATTTTTAAATTTCTGCCAAAAATGGATATTGTGGTAAGATTTTGAAAATCTGACAATTTAGTTTGGTCCATCTCGTCGAGATAGGCGATTTAAATATATAATATGTTAAAATCCACCTTTTAGATTGGGAGATACGGTCATTTCTTTGCGAGCAAATCAATAATACGTACGTATCCGTGTTTAGCTCATGATAGTTCCGCTCCTCCATGAATTTATTTGTTATGCGTCCTACATCAATAACATCGTTCTTCCTTAACCAAGAAAACCTACACTTTCAAAACTAACCAACTTTTTCAAAGCTCCAAAGTGGTATCTTACTCTCATATCCTTAACTTTGATTTACAACGAAAATGATAGAAGACTTTATGTTAAAAAAAACAAAGAAACCCTATTCCTAGCCCCTACTTCCCTAGTTTGAACAGGAAAAAAACTTTTTATCATGATATGACTCAATCTCCAAATCAGGATAGAACTCTAACATTCTTTAACTTCATGAAGTTACCAAGAATCAAAGACATTATCACATCATTAACATCTTAGCTAATAGGTCTAAAATGCTCTTATTTATATCTGACGACCCACAACGTCCATGAGTGTAATATAGAGGATATTTGAAGTTTTTACGGAAAAAGTTCATGGTAAGTTTCTCTAATAAAATATATGTCGTAATAATGTACAAAATACCCCAAAGTTTGCGGTGGTTTCGTGAAATTCACAACTTAAATATTTGCAAGTTAGAAAAAGTTATTATTGTTGGGTTCTCCCAAATCTAAAAAATGAGGAGTGCATGGTGTTGACTAAGACTGAAGGGCTAGTCCACATTGGAGAATGCATAGAATGCAAGCTTGAGGGTTCAAAAAAAAAATCCATATAAACTGATTGAGTAGAAGACAAGAACCTGCATCAAATGAGTTTTTTTTTTTTTTTTTGGTTTGTCCGGCATGTATCCATTTCTCTAATTGCCCTTATAATGAAATAATTCGCTATAGCTAAGCCTCTAAAATCAATCTTTTTCAAATCCAACCCCATTCCTTTATAAATAAAACCCACCTAACATATTTATAACGGAAATAATAGTTATATAGTATGACACATGGACGGTTAATGAAGCAAACCATCTAATAACATGCTGGCATGTGCTCCGTCCTTGGAGCGCCCGCATAGAACACTAAAAAAGTACAACTGATTGCAAGTTGAGGTCGGCCACCATCATAAAACAATTCCCTTCGTTGGGTGAAACAAAAGAAACATTTGGCCTATATTCTTCCATTAAAGTTCTAAACTGCTGTAGGTTGGAATCATTTTCTTCCATTAAGCTTAAGAATTTAGTTAGAGTAACAACTATCAATTTCTTCATAGTTGCTTCTTAACAACCACTCTCTTAAACCTTTAAACCTTTTCTATTGAAAGTAATTAGGTTAATATCCACCCCCAACACCCCCAAAGTGACATCGTCAACTTCGATGGCTCACGTGCCAAGCACGTCACATAGAAAAAAAAAACGAAAATGCTCCTCACTTTATTAGGAACCACCCTTCTCGACCATCAACAACAAGAGCAGCCCATCCGTCCCTCACTTTATTTTTCCATAAAGGGCATTTTTGTTATTTCCCCGGTAACGGGTGACAACGATAGGGGTCGGTGACAAAACTTCACCGACGCTCAGGGGTTTGAAAGGAATAAACAACGTTCTGGGGGCTAAGTTAAATTAACCGGAGTAATAGAAAGCATAGTATAGTACCATTTCCGGCAATTTGGAAAAACATTTATTAAGAATTCTGATTGCTGTCTAGGATTGAACTCGTAAGATGTGGGCTCGGCTCTGTCTGGGGTATTTAACAATCTGATCAATGACAACAGTAATGATTTTTCTTGAAGTGAAAATGAGAAAGGGAATTGGGAGCTGCAGGATTTAAATAACTCCTGGGTTCATATGAGGACTAATAGTGAAAGAAAAACCGACAGCTATATCAAAGCCTCCATCAAAACAAAGAAACAAGCTTTTTATAATCACTAAAATCTCTTACTCTCAGAGTCAGGCAGCCGCGTGAGGTTTGATCCAGTTGCAGTGAAGAAGAAGAAGAAGAAGAGAGCAAATCCCAGATTGGTAAGAAGTTGAGAAGCCCGCATAGTCTTTTCTCCCCCCCTTCTCACCTTTTGAGCGAAAATTGAGAGACTCATAGAGATGGATAATTTAGGGGTAGAGGGAGGGAATGAAATATTAAAAGATTGACAGTTATGTGCGAGGTAAGGACAAATTTTCAAAACCAACCCCTTTCACTGTTTAATTGCAAAAAACGACCTCTTTTCAACTTATTTAGGAAAACCGACCTGGTTTCAGTGTTGTCGCTAAAACCAGGTCGGTTTTTCAAAAAAAATTTACGAAACTTCACGGGAGTTCAACTCCCGTGAAGATTACTTTGTGAATAAAACTCCACGGGAGTTGAACTCCTGTGGAGTTGCAGGCCAAATTCCCCAGAGAATCGCTCGTTGAGAAATTTGATCTCAGCTTCACGGGATTTTAACTCCCGTGAAGCTGCAGGCAAATTTGCCCAGCCGAGACGAATTCGCTCGGGTATTCGGCCTGCAACTCCACGGGAGTTCAACTCTCGTGGAGTTTCGGCCTATATAAACTCACGCCGACAGCGGCCCCCCTCACTTCTCTCTCACCGCAACAGCCCCAAACCCTAGCCCTCTCTCTCTCGTCCCAAATCGCCCGTCCACACCAAAACTGACCGCCTCCCCCCCCATTTCCGACCGCCGGAACCCTACTCCAACCGTCGGCACCCAATTCCGACCGCCTCCCCCCTCATTACGACCGCCGTTGTCGCCGGAGTTCGACAGATTGAAGGTAAATTCCTCCCAAAATTATTTATTCTCTTAATTTCTTGTATTTTCTCGCTATTTCATGGTGATTACATGTAAAAAATTCGATTTTAGAATTTAATTGTGAATTATTTATGAATTATGTGAAGAAAACTTAAATAATTTTATCGATTTAGAGGGTAAATTATCAATAATGTAAAAAATAGTGTTACTATATATGTATGACATCTAATTGATTTTAAAAAATAGTGTTATCAATAATTTTGTCGATTTTAGAATTTCATTGTGAATAATTTATGAAATTTGCTCAGAAAAATTACATAATTTTGTGAATTTTGTGGATTTGGAGCTGAAATTATAAAAAATGTAAAAATTAGTGTTATATGACATCAATTAGATTTTAGAATTTAATTGTGAATTATTTATGAATTATGTGAAGAAAACTTAAATAATTTTGTCGATTTAGAGGGTAAATTATCAATAATGTAAAAAATAGTGTTACTACATATGTATGACATCTACTCGATTTTAAAAAATAGTGTTATCAATAATTATCAATAAAATTTTAAAGTCTTTTCGTGTAATATTGATCTTGAATGTTTTACTCTTCAGGGGTAATGATGAACGATCGAATCGTAATTTTGTGTTCGTATGATGGGAAGATTATACCTCAAAAATAATATGCCCGTTTATGAAGGAGGTGCGACGAGACCATTGTTTATAACAAAATCGTGTACTTTCGATGAGTTGGTTAATGAATTGCACAAACTTACATTAACCAACTCACGTGAGTATTACTTTCGATGAGTTGGTTAATGAATTGCACAAACTTACATTAACCAACTCACGTGAGTATCACCTTAAAGTTATTTATAATTATCCTGTTGTGGAGAACAGGACAAGCAGCATTCAAATATCAAGTGACTACGATATGAGTCCCATTAGAATCTTACATGACGAGAAGCGTTTGATTGAATTGTTTATTGAAAAACATCAAAAGAATTTGGGCAAACCGTTGAATTATGACGGAATGTATTCCCACATGTTGGAGGACCCTGATGTTGATTCCGTTGGCTTTTTATCTCCTCAACAAGATGAAGGTTGGACACAATCACAATATATGAGCGGTCCTTCGCTTGTGGCCACTTCAAATGCGGTCGATACTAACACGAGAGTTCATGAAGATAATGCAAGTGTTGAATCTGAGAATGATGATGAAGAGGAGGGCTTACAAATTAATAGCAGGACCTTGATAGATCGTGATGAAAGGGACAACTATCACATTGACGGGTGTTATGCTAATAATGAGTATGTTGTCTTAGAGGATCCGCCGCCTGATGAACTTCAAGGAGAAGAATGGATCGATAACTCCGTGATGGAAAGTGTTCCTATTGGCACTAATAGCGGTCATGATATACAGGGCAAGGACTTCTCATTCGTGAAGGGAGATCTATATGAGAGCAAGGAGAAATTGATCCATGCGCTTCGCTCGTATGCCATTGCAAAAAATGTTAAGTTTAGGCCAACAAAAAATAACACAACAAGCTATAATGCGGTTTGTTTTTATCGCAAAGATGGTGAAGATGAAGATCTTGATGGACACTACGACGGGAATGCGAATTGTCCTTGGAAGCTTAATTCACATTCGGGTGTAAGAGTAGGTGGGCATTTCAAAATCACGGCGTACAACGGAGTCCACACATGTAGCAATCCTCGATTAGAGATGAATAACAAGCATGTGTCCTCTTCTTTTATATATCGATTGATTTTACTGCATCTGAGGGAGGATCTTGATCTACGGCCAAAAGATATTCGTCTTTTAGTGCATAAAGCGATCAACTTGGATGTATCATACAATAAGTGTTGGAATGCTCGGAGGAAGGCGATGATAAAAATATTTGGGGATTGGGACAAATCTTATGAGATCTTACCGCATTATCTTGAAGCACTCAAAAGAGAAAATCCTTGGACTGTATATGAAGTTTCATCAGACCCTCTTGATGGCGAAGAACGACGATTTACGGGTGTATTTTGGGCATTTGGGCCTTGTATTGAGGGTTTCCAATATTGCCGTCCTCTTCTTAGCATTGATGGCACCCACTTATACGGCAAGTACAAAGGTGTTTTGCTTGTTGCCACCGGAGTTGACGCGGATGGCAGTTTGTTTCCTTTGGCGTTTGTAGTGGTTGCTATTAAAAACACAGAGAATTGGGCGTGGTTTTTTGCATGCATTCGGTATCACATCCCTAGTGTGGGGGCGCGGTCGATTACATTCATATCTGATAGGATGAAAGGAATTCCAAGAGCACTCCAACGTCATTTCCCGTCACCACATGCACATCGTTATTGCTTGCGACATATTAGGGACAACTTCAAGAAGAAATATGAAAATGGTCAGGTTCAAGATCTTCTTTGGCAAGCCGGCTGTGCAACAGAAAAATTAGTTTATGACCAAATACGAGAGAGGATTAAGTTTATCTCCCGAGCTGCACATGATTGGATCGAAACTAGTTTGGGACCACACAATGTTGATAAGTGGGCTTTATGTGAAGATAACGGGAGACGGTTCTGTATGATGACTACGAACGCTTCAGAGAGTTTCAATGGCGTGCTCAGGGGAGCACGCGGTATGCCAATACAGTCACTAGTTGCTAAAACATTCTACAGACTTAATAACTTCTTTCTTCGACGTCGCGAACTTGGTGAAAATATCCGCTCAGAGCTCACACCGAAAAATGATAAAATGTTAGCGGCTCAGATTGTGCAAGCTCGATCCTTTCATGTCGTAAGCTACAGTTTTAATGAATGGGAGGTCATTGAGGGAATATCACATAGAGAAAATCGCTCTTACAAAGTTAACATGTTAGTGGATCACTCGTGTACGTGCACTTGCAATGTACCGCAATTACAATGGATTCCTTATTCACATGTTGTCGCAGCTTGTTCTGATCTACAAGGTGGTGCGAGGATTTCACATTATGAGTTCGTCGCGGATTGGTACTCTACTTACAACTATCGATAAACATACAAAGAGTATTTTCGTCCACCATATGATAGTCGATATTGGACACAAGACGGGCCACTGATATTACCTCCTTTGTGTAAAAGGTCGGCGGGGCGCCCTCGTTCCGTACGAATTAGAAATTGTATGGATGATGGTCGTGAATGAGTTAGGAGGAGAAATAAGTGTAGTAGATGCGATCAACCGGGCCATAACAAAAATAATTGTCCAGTTAGGATTAGGCGTTGATGTTGTAATTTGTAGCGGTTTCGATCTGTGTTTTCTTTCGTATGTCAGGCTTGATTGTAATTTGTAGCGGTTTTGTTCTGTGTTTGTTTCCGTATGTCATTTGTGATTGTAATTTGTAGCGGTTTCATGAGTTGTTTGTTTCCGTATCTCATTTGTGATTGTAATTTGTATAGTCTCGTACTATGTTATATAAATTTAATGTTTGGTTTCAAGTTATTGCTTTCTTCACGTTGCGCATTTGTTTGTTGTTTATATATAACTAGATGAGTATTTTAACAGAAAGATCTAACACATTGTACATTATCTTCTAATATAATTCTCAGTTATATTCATTATGGATCTGGGACCGATATGCCCCGACGTTTTGACCCTCCAGGCGAGCCATGTTTCAGACCATATTGGCTCAGGACAGGTAAGACATCTTTTGTATATGCTAGTTAGCATTGACACTAATTTTAATTTTTTGCATTATACTTAATCAATTCTTTTTGATGTACAGCCCGTACCAGACATCACCATGATCGAGCATTCCCAGAGCCATTCAGCTTGGGTCATTGAGGATGCGAGAGTTCTAGCGCTGATCTCTCAGGCCGGTTTTCGGGAGTGTTCGACGGTTTGATATATCAGGCTTGATTGGCCGCTTATCACTGCACTGATTGAGAGGTGGAGGCCAGAGACCAACACCTTTCACATGCATATAGGGGAGTGTACCATCACTTTACAGGACGTGGCCGTCATACTTGGGCTCCAGATCGATGGGCCGGCAGTTACGGGCACCGATGATCATAGTTGGCCGGAGGTATGTGCCCGGCTTCTTGGACAGGTTCCTGACTTGAGGAGTGGTGCGATGAAGCTATCATGGCTTCGTCAGACATTTTAAGGCGACATACCAGAGGATGCCAGTATGGAGACGCTTCAGTTCCATGCTCGTGCTTACATATTGCACATGATAGGGTGCGTGCTTTTTCCTGATGCGAGCAAGACTCTTGTACATGCACAATGGCTGCCGTTGCAAGAGGATTTTGACATATGCAGCGCACGGTCGTGGGGCAGTACAGTGTTGGCATACTTGTATCGAGAACTGGATAGAGTATCCCTGATGCAGAATAAAGAATTCAAGAGATGCTGCACATTGATACAGATTTGGTCATGAGAGCGCATTCATATTGGACGCCCTACTTTACTTGTGCACCGTGACCTACAGGGGCAGTTTTCTTTGGCGTACATGTATAATTGTACACACAAATTTTATTCGCACTGAATTTGTACTTATGTATTCTCTATTCTGCATATAGGTATAACGTGCGGTACGCTAAGTACCGATCAGCGACGCGCCATCGTGAGTTTTACCGAAATGAGCTTGATGACCTCCAACACGAACAGGTAAATATAAATCTCAAGTCGTTATGAATATTATAGTTTTGTTGTTGATACTGATAAATGTTTTATTTTATTTCAGTTCAAGTAGAGACCCTATACACCGCCGGAGCTCGATATGCATTCTCTTGCACCCATCTGCCGAGATAGTCCCGACTTGTGGAGAGCCAGAGTTCCATTGATTTGTTAGGAGATCGTGGAGATGCATGTCCCTGACCGTGTGCTACGATAGTTTACGCTCTCTCAGCATGTGCCAAATCCTGTCGAGCAGATCAATCGTTGGCGGTGACCTACTTTGCACCATACCGACTGGGTCGTAGTCCGTGCGGCCTACATAGACAGGTGGTCTCACAGGTGGGATTTCATCCAGGATACGAGGCCCACAGCTGTTGACTATACCGTGTATATGGGTTGGTATTGGGGTATCACACGTAGATAGATCACACGTGACCTACAGCCATTAGCTGGACATATGCCACGGCCACCGACAGACAGTTACATCCTTAGTGGGATGAACAAGAGAGATTACGTAAGTTTCTAAGCTAAATTATAATATTTTTTCTTGCGTTGATACTTAATAAATTGTTTACCTCACAGGTCCGTGCTTTTGATAGCATTGAGGCTGATATTGATGCGACCGTGCCTGAGATTCAGGATCAGGTGGCGTTAGGACTCCTCAGCAGGATCAAGAAGACCATAGCACATGTGTTTCGTAAGACACACGTCGACGAGTTCGTAGGCCGTGAGGACAGGTCTCGATCATTTGGGCAGGCGTACACTCGGCGCCGACGGCCACGTGACGATGACGGCGGCACTTCGCATGCTGATGGAGCCGGCACTTCGCATGCTGATGGAGCCGGAACTTCACATGCTGATGAAGCCGGCACTTCACATGCTGATGGAGCCGGCACTTCGCAGCCTCACACACAGCCGGATACTCAGATAGTCGAGGCTCATCAGCGCGGGGGGCGGGGAAGAGCGAGGGGGAGGGGGAAGAGAGGGAGAGGAAGGAGAGGAGCTATATTGGGTTGTATTTGAACTTATTTTGTTAAAATTTGTAACTTGTATGAATTTTCAAATACTATATTTTTGTGGATCAATTATAGCTCGATATGTGATCTTTTTGAGTATTGTTTGATTCGTACGTGTTTAAATCATATATATATTGTAGTGATTATTGTTAACAGGTAAATAGTTGTATATATGAGTTAAATAGGTAGACGTATACAAAATAGGTAGATGTATACAAAACATGCACAGCAGCCTGTGCATGTTTTGTAAAACCTACAACTTTACGGGAGTTCAACTCCTGTGAAGTTGCAGTCTAAATTTCCCAGAGAGCGATTCTCTGGGAAATTTGGCCTGTAACGCCACGGGAGTTGAACTCCCGTGGAGTTTTAAACGCTCCAACAAACTCCACGGGAGTTGAATAGGTAGATGTATACAAAACATGCACAGCAGCCTGTGCATGTTTTGTAAAACCTACAACTTTACGGGAGTTCAACTCCCGTGAAGTTGTAGTCTAAATTTCCCAGAGAGCGATTCTCTGGGAAATTTGGCCTGTAACTCCACGGGAGTTGAACTCCCGTGGAGTTTTAAACGCTCCAACAAACTCCACGGGAGTTCAACTCCCGTGGAGTTCTTGAAGCAATGAGATGACTCATGCGAAAATCAAGAAATAGTTAAGAGAGTCAAATAACTCTTGATTAGACCCAAGATGTCTATTTATACAGCAGCCAAGCTGTTAATTCGGCATGGGATTCTAGGATAGAATCCCACTTAAATACAATCACCACGTTCCAAGATAAGTCGGTCCGACTTAAAGAGTAGAACTTAGCCCTACATCTCAAAATACTAAACGTAAGGCTCACCGCTACATTTTAAATCTTAAACGCTAGGCCTAGACCCAAGTTGCAAGCTTTAAATGTAGAGCTCAGCTTCGCATGTTAAACCTTAAACGCTGAGGTTACTTTGGCGTTTCACCATTTCAGAACGTGGGGCTCACCCTCACATTTTAAACATGACACTTACTCTCATATGAGTCCTGTGTCATGAACTCTTTCGACAGAGTGTTGTAAAAATCTCTGTATCTCCCCAACAGAGGTACAAACAAAATCAGCTTATCAATCTTATTCGATAAGATGATAGAATTACAAATATCATCAAGACAATCATCATCCCTACGAAGCATGATTTTAGCGTGTTTCATTCTTAATATGACAAGCTTTCCTGATGACAAAGCCAACTTATTGACTCTCATCAGTAGAGCGATAAATCATCATCAATTCCTGCCAAGTTAATATTATACCTCTGACGACCATTATCCCCACAGAGTATAAATTCAGCTTATTTTTTTTAATATGACAAGCTTCTTCTAGTGATAAAATCAACTTAAAAATCCTCATCAATAGGATGATAAGTCCTCAAAATTACTCAAAGCACAATCAACTTATCAATCCTCATCAATAGGGTGATAAGTCCTCAAATTCCCGTCAAGTTAATACTATACCTTTGACCAAATCAATCATCAATCTTCCTCAGTGAGACGCTAAGTCCTCAAAAACTTGTTCAAATCACAAGTCCTCAAAAAAAAAAACTTGTTCAAATCACAAGTCCTCAAAAAAAAAAAAAAACTTGTTCAAATCACAAGTCCTCAAAAAACTTATTCAAATCACAAGTACCCAATTTTGCCTAGTTCATATCGCTTCTTTGATAAAATCAACTTATCGACTCTCTTCAATGGAGCGATAAGTCCTCAAATACTTGTACAAATCACAAGTACCCAATTTTGCCTAGTTCATATCGCTTCTTTGATAAAATCAACTTATCGACTCTCTTCAATGAAGCGACAAGTCTCAAATACTTGTTCAAATCACAAGTACCCGATTTTGTCCAGCTCATATCGCTCCTCTGATAAAATCAACTTATCGACTCTCTTCAATAGAGTGATAGGTCCTCAAAAACTTATTCAAATCACAAGTACCCGATTTTGCCTAGCTTATATTGCTCCTCTGATAAAATTAACTTATCGACTCTCTTCAATAGAGCAATAAGTCCTCAAAGTCTTGTTCAAATCACAAGTATTCAACCATGTCAAGTTAATATCATACCTCTTTAACTTATCAATCTTGTTCAAACAGGATGATAAGTCTATAAATTACTGTTATTATAACAATCAAACCCTCATGAACCTGTTAATTCCCCTCTAATAGGACGATAGGTATTCATGAAAGTCCCCAACAGATTAAAATTTTTCTGGAATTATCTTAAATGATAATAAAGAAAAGTGTTAAATCTTGCTTTGTGTAGGAATTTATGCTAAGTTAAATTTACACCTCTGGCATTTTCAGTTATTTTCATTGTTTCAAGTCAAAACATGAAACGTAAAAGAGACAATAGAAAGCCAAAATAGTATCACTTTTATTCAAAATGGAAAAGAGTGATACAAATAAGATTTTCTTCTTATCAAAAGAACAATACAAAATCAGGATCGGGGGCCCATCAATTGGATAGATGAGAACCGGGACTTTACCGCTGAGAGCTCTTCCTCATGAGCAGCTCGCACCGTCGCTTCACTTTTCCTCCTAAGCTCAATTTCGTCCGGTACCTTGGTAGTAGCATCCTTCTTGGCCTCCTCAAGAACTTGGACCTCTTTGCGGTAATTTGTATAAGTTTCGATATTCTTGAGGGTGAGTTCCTGCACAATAGATTCTTCTTGAGCAAGTTGGGCTTTTTCTTGAGGCTCCTCCGCATGTAGTTGGACGATAATCTCTTCTTTTCGAGTAATTGATTCTCGAGCAGTCTGCATAGTGGTGGTTGAAATAGTTAGCTCATCTTGCCTCTGAGCGCATTGCCTTTATAATTCTGCAACTTGGGTTTCCTTCTCAGCCAAGCCCCTTTGAATGATTTCATACTGATGGGCCGCCTCAGTCCGGATGTCAACTAAGGTTGATTCAATCTGAGCTTCAAGATATACACGTCCTAAGTCTTCTAAGGCTTTTAGATCAACTTCTAAGCGAGAGATGCTCTCTGAACAATGTTTAATACATTGAATGTTGTAGGCGTCTAAAAATACCTATAGGTATCCACACATAGCTCGAGACAGAGAGAAGGTGATGAACGACATTATCTAAGTCTAAGGGAATTATCCGACGCCGACGAACACATGAAGCAAAACGGCAAACCGAGTGACTCGCGTGCTCACCGGCCACCACCAAGTGGCCCGCACGCTCATCGGCCACCAAATCGGTGAACCGACTGGCCCGTGCACTCGTCAGTCACCTCCAAGTGTCCCGCACGCTCACCGACCATCAAATTGGCGAACTAACTGGCCTGCACGCCCGTCGGCCACCATCAATATGTCCATGCGTTCACAAAATAAATCGGGAAAGCGTACAAGTCAACGAAACACGAAATACGCGTAACGACAGAACAAGTCAAAATCCAGAAAACAGATAAAGCCCCTGGCCGATCGATGTCCACCACCAAAACCGCCGACCGCTGAACCCAGATCAGTGGCTCGGCATCCGGGCGCCAGCCAAACCACAATAGTGGCTCGGCCGACCAAGCACCATTGCGGTGGCCTCGGGACAAGCGCGAGCCACCATCTTGCCGTGCCGGCCGCGCCCATAGCCCGAGCCCACCCATTTTGCGTGCGCTCGGACCCCAAGCCGCAGCCACCATTTGATGGCCCGGCCATAGCCGAGCCACCGGGTGACAATCGGCCAGATTTGATGATTTTCGATTTTGATGGTTTTTTCTTAGGATTTGTTTGTTCCTGAATGTTCCAACTGATCTGATACTATGGTTAATCAGTTCTTAACTGAAGATAAGGAGGAATCACTCGTTCTTATCCAAATACCTGCTTTCGAAGCTTATAAATACGAGCTCGGATGCTCATTTCACAGGGCAGAACATCAAGAGGGCGAGGTGCTGCCGGTTTCTTGAGTGCATAGCCATGAATTTTAGCAATGGTTAGCAGATCTCGGCGATCTCCTGCGCATAAAGAGTGAAGTTCAAGAGATTTGAGACTCGTCCCTTATTCCTCCGGATTTAAGCTTGGTCTTAAATCTCGAGAAGAGCCGTAATCTCGCTTGGTCGGGATCATCGCTGCAGCGATTACTTCCTTTGTGAAGTAAGAGCTTTGATTCCATAATCTTTCAACCGGATCTGATCCAGGGTGGTCCACGGATATTAACATCCCCGACACAGGCAAAGATACCACGCAAGCAGCGGGTGATAAACGTCCGTTGTGCTATTTGACAAGAGTTGTAATCTTTATTTTCATTGTATAAAGGAGATCTTATAAAAAGATTGACTTTCTTTCTTTTTGAACTTATTATAATGACTGAAATTGTAATGAGTTCGTCACCAATGAAAATCTCAACTTTTGACCCAAATAAGCTGGCAACCATAGTGGGATCCAATAGCTTTGCTGCCAAAGCTATCGTGCCTTAACCACGGATCCAGATCCCGGTTGAAGAATTGGTCGAGTATGAATTCGACCAACTGAAGTTCGAGGAGTATTTGTCATCCTCCTCCTCCAGATCCTCTGCCCCTCACAAGCGCAGGAAGATCAAAACCCCCCGTTGCTGTGGTAGCTGCACCTTGCAACACCCCTCCGGCCTCCAACGAAGCCGGATCTACAGATCTGGACTCCTCCTCAATCAAGGAGATAACCACTGTAGCCGCACCAACTTTATCGAAGAGGGCACGCCAAAGGCAGCGCCAACAACTTGCGCGTCGATTTGGTAAGGCTTTGGAGCCTGTTGACGAGACTGGCTATGAGGCAGATCTGAAACGCAGAAGGCACCAAGTACCCCAGCAGCAAATAAATGGCCTATCCTCCAAACCAACAGCGAATGAGTGGACCCAAGTCAAATGGACCCGCTCAACCCTCGAGGAGCGCATTCAGAAGCGTCGCGCCTTGATTGAGCACATACGAATTCTTGTGCGAGAAGCACAGAAGATGAAGCAAAAAGAGGTGATCAACAAACCAC